CTGCTCCCCAACTTTTACAAACCCCTCCACCTCTTTCCCCCCCCTCTCTTTTTTCTCCAACCAATTCTAATTTGGCTGTCTGTCCAGACCCCCCCAAACATCAATCGACCAGTCAGATTAATATACAGACAGCCAGCCTCGAGACAGCTTGCTTTCTCGGCTGCTCGTTCGCTTTTCTTCTTTTCATTCTTTTCTTTTCATTCATTAGTTTTTTGACTCCCCTTTTGAAGTGAAGTGAGAAGAAGCCTCCGTCACGATTATTGACAACCATCCTTCTTCCCCCACGGTCGCTTTTTGATTTTATCCACTTCGCCGCTTTCGCTTCGCAGCTCACCGGTTCCAACTAAACATCACCTACTGCAGCATTTCTTTGTTTGCAACCACTCGTTTACAGGAACACAACGCTTAGCTCCCCTCCCTCCCGTTAGCACAGCTTTTGATTTCCCTTCCATAGCCCACCCTGAACTACAGTGACGTCCCCCCCGTATCACGACTCAGCAACTATTATAATCACGCCAAACTGTCTTCAATAAGAGTATCACCCTTGCCAGGCACCTAAGGGGACTTCCCCCCTCCAGCATCAACTTCAGTACCAAACACACTCGTTGCAACGCCCATCATGATGAGTCGCTCGTTACCCAGAACAGGCATCGTGCCTTCAATACTGCTCGCTCTTGCTGCTTTCGGTACTGAAAATGTCGCTGCTAAAAGGCTCATTCAGTCAACGTCTTTGAACCCCTGTATGGAAAACTCCAAGTTTTCGGCGTCTTTATTCAATGTCACCTTCTCTCCAGACGACTACATTCTCAACATCAATATCAACGGTGTATCTTCTATTAATGGAAACGTTACAGCTACTTTGTTGGTTATTGCGTATGGGTATACGGCCTTGTCAAGGGAAATGGACCCGTGCACAATGGGGGAAGGGTTTTCAGGAATGTGTCCCATGACACAGGGTTTAATCAATCTTGAATCTCACACGACCATTGAAGCTGCTGTTGCGAACCAGATTCCAGGTACCCTTTTCTATTTTTTTGTATTTGTTTACTTCGCGGGGAAATTGCTGACATTTGTTTGTCTAGGTATCGCTTACCAGGTTCCTGATATTGATGGAAAGGCAAAGATTATGGTCAACAGGACGGACACAAACGAGATGATTGCCTGTGTCGAAGCACCTCTCAGTAACGGAAAGACTGTAGATACTCATGGTGTAGGTTGGGCCACAGCTATCATCGCTGGAATGGGTCTTATTGCCTCTGCCGTTACATCCGGACTTGGCCACTCAAACACCGCTGCCCACGTTGCTGCTAACGCCTTGTCTCTTTTTGGATACTTTCAAGCTCAAGCAATGGTCGGAATGACCGCCGTTCCACTCCCACCAATTGTTGCTGCCTGGACTCAGAACTTCGACTGGAGCATGGGTATAATCAAGGTTTCATTCATGCAAGACATTTTCCATTGGTATATCCAGGCCACTGGAGGAACTCCTTCAAATCTTTTCGGTGCCCTCTCTGAGGTCTCCGTTCAGGTTGCGAAGCGTTCTTTAGATACTGTTGAGAACAATGTTGGCCGAGCAGCCATGTATGGATTTCAGACATATGCCAAACTAGAATCGCGCGACCTTGTACCCAGATCAAACAATGACAACGGAATTAACGACTCTACTGAGACCATCAAGGTGTCTGGAATTCACAGAGTCGCCTTCAAAGCAGGTATCGAAGCAACAAACTTTTTCATGACTGGGTTGGCATTCTTCGTTGCGTTTTTGGTTCTGGTTGCGCTTGGTGTTGTTGCCTTTAAGGGGGCATGCGAAGGTGCTGCAAAGATGAAGTGGATTAAGGGAACCAAATTCTTGGATTTCAGAAACGGATGGCTTACAGTTTTGAAAGGAATTATGTACCGATTGGTATGTCTTGGAATCAGGATCCTTGACCATGAATTCATCTAACATGAAATCTAAATAGGTTCTTATTGGATACCCTCAGATGGCAATTCTCTGCCTTTGGGAGCTGACCGAGAAGGATTCAGGCGGTGCCATCACTCTTGCTGTTTTCTTCTTTTTCTCGATGACCGCAATTCTCGCTTGGGCTTCGTTCAAGGTCATTCGCATTGCTCAACGCTCTGTCTCATTACACAAGAACCCGGCCTATATTCTTTATTCTGACCCAGCTTCACTAAACAGATGGGGTTTCCTCTATGTTCAGTTCCGTGCTACCGCCTACTACTTTGTTGTGCCGGTTCTGTTGTATACGTTGATGAAGGCCATGTTTATTGCATTTGGTCAAGGAAACGGAACTGTCCAGGCAGTTGCGTTGGTTCTTATTGAAATTGGATACTTGATCCTTGTCGCCTTTATGAGGCCATTCATGGACAAGAGGACCAACATCTTCAACATTGCTATTTGCGTTATAAACTTCATTAACGTCATCTTCCTTCTAGTCTTCACAAACGTTTTTAAGGGACCTGTTAGTACCACCGTTATCTCCCGTTTAGGCACCCGAGCTAATAATTGTTTAGGGAATTGTTATCGGTGCCATGGGTGTCATCTTTTTTATCCTCAACGCTGCTTTTGCCCTCGTCTTGCTTATTCTCGTCCTCATTTCTTCCATCTATGCGCTTATTTCGAAAAACCCCGATGTCCGCTACCAGCCCATGCGTGATGACCGAACATCATTCATCAAGTCCAATTCACAAATGATGCTCTCAACAGAGTTGGATGCATTGGGTGCTACTGCGCGTGGTGACAGCAAAGGCGGGTATAGGAAGCGCGACCTCGAGGAGGATACCGACTCATATAGTTCCAAAGCTTTAGATGCCAGCGGTATTCCCTTACCCCCATCAACAGCCGGATCCATGACAGCCAGCCATCGGGATGCCCCACGATCACCTGTGAGCCCCGCCGTTCCCCTTTTCCCCACGACTTCAAACGACCCCCAAAGGAATAATATGTACAACAACAACCAAATGTCTCAACCAAATCAGCTCCCGTTATTGACCACAACGGGTACTCCTAGGTCACCAAGTCGTGATGGCAGCAGATCACCAGCAGCCTCTACTAGGTCACAAGGAGGATTTGATTTCCAGAACCAACCGTTAACCAGACAAGGCTCGAATGGCACGAACTGGCAAAGTGGTGCGGGTTATGATCGTCATTAAGAGTCTCTCTGTGTATGCAGTGGCGCTTTGCGGACTTTATGTTTTTCCGAACCGCGTGTGTAATAGAATGATGGTTTGGTTATAATATTTGTTTTTTTCCTTCTTGTGCCAAATTCAGGGGTGTTTTCTTCTTTTCTTGTGTATTTTCTGTATTTTGATTTACCTATTTTGATGTATGTGAAAGCCACCGGGAAAACGGGACATTTGCATATCACTTCGGGAAACCCTAGAACGTCTTATTATAGACAGTGTTGGGGGTGAATTTCTTCAGTTATTGTAGCTTATGTGCAGGCCAAACTGGGGTGGTTTTTATTTTATTTTTTTGACCGCGATTTCTTTTGTCAGTCTTTTTCTTTATTTTTCCTTATGTCTTTTCCATACGGGGTTTTTCTTTGTTACTTTATTTGCCTCTACAACTACTGTCTGTTAACTCTTATTACCCTGGGTGGGTTTAGGTGGCGGGGTGGGGTGGGGCGGGCATTTCGTTAAGGAGCGAGGGATGGATTGGAAATTTGGGGATTTTTTTTTTGTCCGAGGGGTTTGGTGCATCATACGTGTGTGATGGCAAGGTATGGTGCGGGGCGCATGGTTTCATGAAGAGGAGGGCTACTCTTTTATACATACCTTATTTTTTGCGCTTCCTTTATTTTTTTACTTCTTTTCTGCGCACCCATCTCTTCAACTACCATGCTGCTCTGGTTGTACCATCTTTTCACACACATTAGCATCTTCGCTTCTATCATGGCTCCCTCGATCCTCTGTGTCCAGTACACTTCTCACATTATATATACCCATGCTTGTTAGCCCATTACCATCCCATTCATCTACCTCCCCCTAAAATACAACTATACACTCAAACAGAGACAGAGATAGACAGTTAACCAAAAAATCAGTGATACCCCCTCCACGCTTTTTTTTTTTCCTATTCCTTTCCTATCTCATTTTCTCTCTCTCTCTCGGTCTGGGTTTGTTAGGGTGGGTCTTAATTTCTTAGGTGGGGTCTTGTCTTGTTTGAATCTACTTAGCTACATATATCACTCACACTCATTATCTATCTTTTTGTACAATGTATGGTTATTTTTTTTCCCTTTGTGAATCTGCTCGTGTTTTTTTTGTGCAATTGTGATTATGGGAAGGGGTCCGGGGGGGTGCTCGCGATCGAGCGATTGGGGAAGGAACTCTTTTTTTTTTTTTTCCGCCGAAGAAATAAATATACTGAAGGACCAAGAATAACTCCATATTGCAAATTATTTGAGGAATTGTAGTGGCGTGTCCAGGATGACCCAGTACAGTGGTATGTAATCGCGAATGGAGTCGGCATTAAGGACCTGTATGGTGCTGATCTCGGGATGTGGCGTCGGTGATGTTCGATGTGTGTTTAGTAGGCGGTACTTACGGTTTCGGCGGTATACGGTAGTTGAGGGTGGAGTAGAAGAGGCGAGTGATTAAATATGATCTCGTATAATCGCACTTTCTACTTTAGAGCACTCGTCTGGTCAATGATCGTGCAAGCAACATTATTGATGATGTGTGTGGAACGGCTAAATTGGTGCTTGTTTACTTGGAAATGGTTACTGCGCACGCTATACTGGATTTGTGAAAATACAACTAAAATTCTCGTTACTGAATTGACATATATCAGTAGGGTCGAAACTAGTAGATTTGTAAACAGCAGTGCCTATGTAACTACATGTATGTATGTACTGCGCATATCTACGTAATTAACCAACCCCCATATATGCACGGAAAAAAAGACTCGCCCAAAAATAAACCTTTGCATCATCATGTGCAAATAAACAAACTCCAAAGGAAAAATAAAAAGGAAAAAAAAAAAATGAGGCGCTCTAAGCAGAAACCGAAAGTCCCAGCCCAACCTCCTGATCCTGTAGTTCGTCACCACATATATCGCTCCAGGCAGTCTCATCCTCCATGCACCTACCCGTCGATAATCGTCAGCCATCAATTACATAAGCCTACATGATGTGCAAGAGAAACTTACTCAGTCACAATCTCAACCGAGAACCACCTGGACCCACAGAGGCAGTCCTTGACGGCATAAGCAATTTCTACATCGTTCTGAATCGCTTGGGCACCCGGGCCGTTGAGACAGTCCTGGAACGTCTGCCCCATACGCATGCATTGAGGGGCGATAGGGATTTCTGGGAACTCGGAGTGTCCGAGCTCGGGAAACTCAGGGAACTCGAACTCGGGGATAATCGAAGCTCCAACTTCTTGAGGGGTGGGGGTGGGGGTTGGGAGAGCAGGAATGCCGGTGAAGGCTGATAGGATAAGAGTGGAGAAAAGGAAGATAGAGTGCATTTTTGGAGGTGTGGTATGAAAATAGAACGTGTTTTGAGTATTTTGCTTTTTTGTAGGGAAGATCGTTGTTGATTTTCTGGATGGAGTTTCTGGTTGGAGGGTATAGGCGGGTGGCATGTGGTATTTATGCAGTGCGATGCTGCAGGTCAGATCAGCACGATTGATGGCTGACGATGATTGAATAATTGCATATTGACCCAAACAGTTTGTCGTTTGTGAGGAAATAGTTAGATCATCGAATAAGTGCTTAATATGTGAATGCTAGCGCAGCAACTGTCATCATTAGCCTACCAACCATCATTCGATAGTAACAAATTTTTGAGTAGAACGCTAGGCTGCGCATTTCATTGCTCAACTAATAAACTTGTTCTCAAAGATGCGTGCTTTGTGAGCGCATCTCATCGGACAGAGAAATGGACATAAATCTATTCAAACCGTTCAGATAGGCAGGTCTTCTCATCAATATAGTGTGAAATCTGCAGCCCTAAATCAGTGATCACCTGTTGATTGATTGTAAGGATTAATTACGAGCACCAACCACGTACGTACGTAGAGTGATAAATCATGACGCAGTTATTAGATTTTTTAGGGGAAAGTCACATATCAGTATCGCGCTAGAAGATAGACATTGTACTTGCCGGATTTTTTTCTGTGTCCAGCGAACCTATTCTTCCTGATACGGAAGAGTCGCAACGACTTTATCTCACCAAATATCTATCAAATTCATGAAGTTTTAGGGCCGTTGCTTCGTAGCACTCCCATATTTCCGGATGAGGAAGAAACAGCTGGACACAGAAAAAAATCTGGCAAGTACATGTACTCATAGAAGTGTCAGAAGGACCTACGGAGTTTAGTACAAGGGAGAATTAGAGTACGCACCACGCTGCCGTACCTCGGCTACAATTAATGACGTAATATATAGGGAGGATAGTATGGGGTGCTGAACGCCTTAAGGGTACGTACGACGTAGCCATAGACTGTATTTTCTAGGCCCTAGAATTATATGTTTGTATCTTTAATGGTGGGATATATACCACAAACAATATATCAAATACTAATATATCTGCGGCATGTTATCTCTTCATTTGGTGTTGCTTCCAACATAGCTAAATTGAAGGAGGGCCTGAATTTGGATATAGTAACAATTACAATTGATTGACGATAACGAGATCTCATAGCATGTGCCGCAATCTTGATACCAACTTTCGGTGAGCAGCATTTTCGGATACTGACGATAATCTACATGTAGTTAGCTATGTATACATGGTACTATACTGAGTTAGAGGCAGCGCGTATCATATCAGAACTGCGAGAGTAACGTATAAGTAGTCTAAGGGTAAAGTTAGTGCAGGGGGCCGGTGCAGGTCTCTGCGCATGCACGCGATCTTCTGGGTGGACGCATGGGCAGCCCTTTTGGTGGCTTAAGGTGGCGGCCTGCCTCAGTACAGAGAATGTGGTTGGACTTTATAGAGTTATGTTATATATATAAGTGGAGTGTTTTCTTCGTCAGTACATGTAACCATCCGGTTTTCTGCACAGATCCACAAGCAGGCCGACCCGCAGTCGTGCTGTTTTAATTGAAATGGTGGCCCAACCAAAAGAGAACATATGTGTCCCTAGCTATATATTCTTAAACAAAACTCTTAGTATATATATGCACCCTAACGGCTCCGCCGTCAAGCCCGATCCCGCTCTTTAGCGTCAAGAAGGACCATACTCGGTCACAAACACTGAAATTGCCATTGATTTTGAATTAAGACATTATGTGTAGAGACAAGTTGACCTCACAGTGTAACTATTTCACCACCACCAAGACTGTGGCTCATAGACTCCAGCTCTCACAGCGCGAAGTGTGTATTAATAGCGGCAGCCAACAACTCGTTCAGAAAAGGTAAGACGCTAAGCCTCAACTACTATGATCGAGTGACCGCTCGTGACGGGAATAATAATAAAAAGTGGCTAGAAAGAACAAAAGTACCGCGATCATGGTCTGTTCATCCTAGATACCGCTCCAATCTCTGAATAGGATCGTGCAGTGTTGAGGAGTAGAGTACCCGGTCGAGTAATAGAGAAGTTTTGCTGGGAAGTATGCACTATCGCTGACCCTCGCAAAGATTGAGCCAGGGGTGATAAAATAAAAATGATGTTTTGATATAAGTCCAAACTACATGATCTCATTTCAACCTACTAAAGTATAGTATAATGAGTGACATCAATAATATCGATAAAAATACACTCTAATGTGGGTGGTGGTTGAAACAGACCAATAAGAACATTTGTTTACATTATTTAGCGGCCAGATAGTTCTAATTATGTTGTCCGTAACATAGTGCCATTTATAATTTGAACTATCTCCTTATTTTATTCTAACCCGTTACAAAAGTGAGGTTATGCCTACCACGGACTGTTGTGTGGAAACAAATGCAAATTATAATGCGAACTTCGTAGCAAAACTCCTCTAATCTTGATATCTACACTTTAAATTTCGCTTTTCTGGTCGTTGATCTTGGATGTAAGTCATGTACTTCTTTAATGTTATTGCTCTTGGGGAGTGCAACTTTATGTAGACATTAAAAACCATAGGCCAATGATTTTTTCACCAACTTCGCTTTCCACGACAATTTGTTGATATATTCGTGATTAGGTAATGATAATGATATCATCCTATAAAGTAGTCTCGAGTCAGACTCTATGAAGTCGTATGGTTCCTGTCAGTGTCCATTGGCGATTAGGTCACATCCTCACATGTAGGGGTTAACGTTAACCCATCTTTATCCTGATTCATATCTAAAATCACTGCTAGAATTCAAGCAAGTACTTAAGTCCAAGGGTAAATCATGATCAGTTGCATTTTCGTTGATGCATGCACCCAAAATCACTCGTCATCTTCCTTTCCCAATATTAGTCATCGCATTTTTTCAATTGTTAGCTCTAGCTCTTCATACATTTGCATATATGGATATTAATGGGGTAGAAAATGACGTCTTCGGATTGATTATCTGGCCCAGCTCATATAGTCACTTGAACTCGTTAGATCGACCTCCACAGAGTTCACCTCATGAAGCAGCGAAGTTAATCGACCTGCATTGGCAATTGGATCAAAAGCTTGAGCTTTCTCAAAGTATTCATCGTATGGACTAGAAATAGAGCGGATATAATGTTAACACCCATGTATATGTCGTCTATGGTAGTGACAGTACTCAGAGGCTAAAGGAAGGTATCATTCACACACCCCAAACCGACAGCAAAGAATAAAAAATAAAGACAAAAACACCGTTCCCACAAAGCCTAATTTCAAAAAGAAAATCCGATCGCCTTATTTTGACAGGCACTTCTCTACAGTCCCCCTCAACATCTTAACGACTTCCCCTGGGCTCTCAGCTCCAAACACCGCAGTCCCAGCCACGATCACGTTTGCGCCTGCCTCCGCAGCCTGATCAATTGTGCCCAGGCCAAGCCCGCCATCAACTTCGATATCCAATTCCGGGTATCTCTCGCGCAGAGCAGCAACCTTAGGCATGCAACGTGCTTGGAATTTCTGCCCACCGAAACCGGGCTCCACGGTCATCACAAGCACCATCTGGTATCCAATGTCAGCACTATCCAGCCAATGATTCAAGGAAGAAAATGACGAACATCAGGCTTCTCGACATCCCCATCCAATAATGGGTAAACCACATCTGCAGGGGTGTCAGGCTTGATAGCAACACCAGCCTTCATCCCGAGGGCGTGGATGTTCTTAATAAGCTGTGACGGTGATACAGCGGGGTCCTTCGAGGTGACTGCGGCTTCATAGTGGAAGCAGTAGAGGTCACAGCCAGCTTTCTTGAAGTCCTCAAGCCACTTTTGTGGCTGTCAGGCTGTCAGTATACTGCTTCTAGGGTTGTTGAGGTAGTGTCAATTATTACTACGGACCTCAGCAACCATCATATGGCAGTCGAAAACACCCTTACTCCAGTCTGCACTTCTCTCAACGCTTCCCCTAATACATGTCACAACCGGTGCTCCAATTGTAATGTTGGGCACAAAGTGTCCGTCCATGATATCGATGTGGAGCCAGTCTGCGCCGTGCTCTTTGATCACGTTGGAGCATTCTGACGAGAGGTTTCCGAAGTCGGAAGCAAGGATTGACGGGGCAATGATTGCTTTTGGTGCCATTTTGTAGGTGGTTTCAGAGAAGCTTGAAGAGGCTGTTGGGATGTTTATTTGGTGGGGTGAATTGGCGGGGTAGGGATTATTCACCATTTTATGCAAAGATTAGTATGCATTACTTGCTGTAGACAATAGCGTTACCCGGTCTGATTATAAGTGACGTCAAATACCATCTTGAAGGCTGACGGGAAGATTGATACGCATAATAGGAGTATGAATACTTGTAGTATCGAGTATATATATTAAACACTCCGCCCGGCCTTTCATTCGTCAGGACACTTCACATGTGTGAAACGTTTATATGAAGTGCTCCTACATACAACACAAAAAAGCGCCAAGAATAAACATTAACCCGACCGCTAGCTATTTCATTACACGTCGATTTCTTGCAAGAGTAAATAAACATTAAAATCATAAGCCGAAAAAGAGGGCGGGTACTATAGGCAGCCCCCAATGAACGCGCTCAATTTCTCTTTCCAGTCTTTCTTTTCAACACTTCCGCCCTTTACTTCCACCTCCACGCCCACTTCTTCCATAGCCTTGAATTCGAATGGACCTTCTCCACCCTCACCAAGCCACTCCTTCTCCTCGTTACCTTCACCATCGTCTTCAACATCAAGAATACCCTTGGACCTTGAGACTCTCATCTTGGTAATCTCTTCCTCCAAGAGCTTTTGTATCTTTCCAGCAGGGAGCGCGGTAAACACATCACTCTTGTTGCAGGCAATCAACAGCCGTTTAGGTTGCGAAGACGTAGCACCAGATGCGGAGGCAACCTTTTGCATTGCCAAAAGAACATCGTAAAGGTATTCGGCGGTCCCACGAACGTCGGTCAATGAAGAGTCAAGAACAAAGATGACGCCACGGATGACAGGAGATGAGATCTGAGACAATGCAAGGTGACGCAATTTTCCGTGGCCGGGGGTATCGGAAAGGAGAAACTTAAGGTATGATTTCATTGAAGGATCATTGGCCGAGCGGTATTTGGACGTTCCCGCGATAGCAGCAGAGATTGAACATTCAAGCGACAAAGGGCTTTGGCTGGTACGGGTATCCGGAGGAGGCTTCCCACTTTCCGTTTCGGATTCAAACTGTACTCTTCGTTAATATGTCGGGAGTGCGCATTCGGTCACTGGAGAAACCTACAGCTGTCATAAGAGAAGTTTTCCCACCGCCAACTGGGCCAACAAGGAGAAATGTAGGTAGAGTGGTCGCGGCGCGTGATCGAAATATTAATGTGTGGATCAGTAAAGGGGTCAAGAAAATGACAATAACCGTCACGATCAAGACGGGGAGAGAAGGGTTGAAAAACGAGGCCATGAGGGAGCTTAAATCCGCGCCGCCTGGCGGTGGTAGCAGTGGTGTGGCATCTGGTGAGGGTAAAGAGGACTCCATGTTGAATTTTGCAAGCTAAAACGAAGTTACCACTGGGAGAGAGATGAGAAAGGGGACCCAAAATGTGTGTACGGAGATGGAGTGAGTGACTTAAGGTGAACGTGGAGGTTTGTTAGTCTGACTTGTATGCAGGCATTGCCTGTGCTGACTAAGCGCATTTGAGTCTCAATCATTCACGATAATGAAGTGCCGTGAGCAACCTTTTGTAAACACTTCAGTGCTCAAGTACTTAGAGGGCTTAGATTTGGAAAAAGAGGAGCTTTACAGAAGGATCGATCAATGGTCTTGGATGAACATTGATATTTTATCAGATACTCACAGAAATAGGATAATTGTTTTATCGTGGTATGTACATAGACCTAGCGTCACTACAGTACTGTAGTCAGGGCAAGAGGCCTTAGTTCTATTCTCTGGAATTAAAATGTATAGGAAGCACAAGTACGTAATTCATTCCTCGGTTCATCTACATACATGTAGGATGAGAGACTGGAGACGTATCAAAATGCCTTGGGATCGAGCATAGAGGTAATATCTTCGAATATTACCCCGATTTCTCACATCACAACCTATTCCTGTATCTACCAGTACTTTTAGAAGTCTTCTCTGTTTTTTTGCCTTCTTGTTGTTTCTCTTTTAATTGTAGTAGATACACTTCGAATCAATCGTTGCCAAGCCAATATTCAACCTCATCAGTTGCCCTAAACCCCCTGCCATTGCTGCACAACAGCTGTCCTCTCGCAAAAAGCTTCAGGGGATACTACCTATCATCAGAATCGACAAGCGCGAACTACTCCCAAGATAAAACAATCGAATACAGAATAATCTCAACCGGGAAGTGGACATAATGCGGCTAGACGTTAAGGTACGGATACTCTTTTGTACGGCTCTTTAAGTTGAGGGGAGATGATGGGCACCTCCCCGGGGGTGACTGGGAGGTATAGGATGCTCGGGAATATCTCGAAGTGGAGGCTGATCAAATCCTATCAATTATGTCCTTTAGAGACAACTCTTTGCCCGCTCGGACCGAGTGAAGGGGATCGATTTTCACCCCACTGAACCATGGATTCTGAGCACCTTATATAGCGGTACTGCCTCTTGCCCCACGGTGTCTCAGAAGGCGGGGTGAAGTCAATCACTGACCTATTCATCAATTCAAGGTCACGTATACATCTGGTCCTACGAAACTCAAACCCTAGTAAAGACCTTTGAAGTTACCGATGTCCCTGTTCGTGCCGGTCGCTTTATCGCGCGAAAGAACTGGTTTGTGGTCGGTTCCGATGACTTCCATCTTCGGGTGTTCAACTACAACACCTCAGAAAAGATCGCGGCTTTCGAGGCGCATCCCGATTATATCCGTTCGATCGTTGTACATCCGACACAACCGTTCGTGCTCACTGCAAGTGATGACATGACCATCAAGTTGTGGGACTGGGACAAGGGCTGGAAGTGTGTACAGACATTTGAGGGACACAGCCACTATGTCATGAGCTTGGCCATTAACCCCAAGGACACAAATACATTCGCTTCTGCATGTTTAGACAGAACGGTCAAAATTTGGAGCTTGGGCGGTGGAGGAAGTGCTAACTTTACTCTAGAGGCGCACGAGACTAAGGGTAGGTTATTACGTCTAAGATCAATGCTTCGGGCCAATAGCTGATCAACCACAGGTGTCAATCACGTCGATTACTACCCAGCTGCCGACAAGCCCTATATTCTCACCACCTCTGATGATCGAACAATCAAAATTTGGGATTACACGAATAAGTCTTTAATTGCTACTCTTGAGGGCCATACATCGAATGTTTCTTTTGCTTGTTTCCACCCAGAGCTCCCAGTAATCATTTCCGGTTCTGAAGACGGCAGTGTTAAGATTTGGCACGCAAATACCTACCGCCTAGAGCAGACTTTAAGTTATGGGCTTGAGAGAGCATGGTGTGTTTCCTACCAGAGGGGCAAGAATGCCCTCGCTATCGGATTCGACGAAGGATGTGTGGTTATCAAGATGGGAAGGGAAGAACCGGCTGTCAGTATGGATGCAGGTGGAAAGATTGTATGGGCAAGACATAACGAGGTCTTGACCGCGGTTGTCAAACCCGGCGGTACGCACTTGTTAAAGCATCGTGATTTAACATCAGCCAGTCAACTGACATTTGATTACAGATGTATCTGTCAAGGATGGTGAACCATTATCACTTCCCCACAAAGATCTTGGCTCTTGTGAGATTTATCCACAATCCCTTCTCCACTCCCCCAATGGCCGTTTCGTGTCAGTTTGTGGTGATGGGGAGTATATCATCTACACTGCTTTGGCTTGGAGGAACAAGGCATTCGGGCAGGCATTGGACTTTGCTTGGGGTTCTCGAGACAACAGCAATGATTACGCTATTCGAGAGAGCCCGACTAGCGTTAAATTGTTCAAGAACTTCAAGGAGAAACCTGGAGGTTTGGACGTTGGATTCGCTGCTGACGGGTTGATCGGGGGTGTTCTACTTGCCGTTCGGGGAGCTGAGACGGTTGGGCTTTTTGATTGGGAAACTGGCGCTTTGGTTAGAAGGATCGACGTGGTGCCACATAACGTATGTTTCCCAAAGTCATATAGAATTGAGCTCCCCCGGAAAGCTCGAAACATTAAGGATTATCAACTGACACTCCTCCAAACAGGTTTTCTGGTCTGATAGTGGTGAACTTGTGACTCTTGCTTGCGAGGATGCTTTCTACGTTTTGCGATTCGACAGAGACGAGTACGTCGCTGCCGTTCAGAATGGAACTGTTGAAGATGACGGTGTAGAGGCTGCTTTTGAGGTTATCACTGATATTCATGAATCTGTTCGCACTGGTGAATGGGTTGGTGATTGCTTCATCTACACAACTTCTACTAACCGCCTCAACTATCTCGTCGGCGATCAAACATACACCATCTCTCATTTTGATTCTCCCATGTACCTTCTCGGATACATCCCCCGCGATGGCCATATCTACCTTGCTGATAAGGATGTCAATGTTGTCTCATACTCACTATCTCTCAATGTTGTTGAGTACCAAACCGTTGTCCTCCGAGGCGATATGGATGCCGCTGCAGAGCTCCTGGAAACGATTCCTCAGGACCAAAAGAACAAGATTGCACGATTCCTTGAAGGGCAAGGCTATAAAGAGCTTGCTCTAGAGGTTGCTACAGACCCCGAGCACCGCTTTGACCTCGCTCTCGGCCTCGGAAACCTTGAGATCGCACTTGAGATTGCTCGAAGTGCCGACGCTGAACACCGCTGGAAAACCGTTGGTGACGCAGCTCTCGCCGCCTGGGATCTTGTGCTCGCGGAGGAGTGTTTCCGTGCCGCCAAGGACCTTGGCTCACTCCTCCTTCTTCACACAGCTACTGGAAATGTTGAGGGTCTTAGAGAGCTCTCAAAGTCTGCGGATGCGGCAGGGTCTAACAATGTTGCATTCGCATGCTTGTGGCAAACGGGCGATATTGAGGATTGCACTAACCTCCTTGTAAAAACCGGGAGGATCCCAGAGGCGGCTCTTTTCACACAGACATATAAGCCAAGCTTGACCAAAGACGTGGCAGTGAAGTGGAAGAACAGTCTTAGGGATGCCAAAAAAGAGAAACTGAGTGAGGCGATCGCGGTCCCGGGAGAGGACGATGAATTGTTTCCGGAGTGGGATGAGTATTTAAGGGTAGAAGCAGAAGCACCGGCAGCAGGGGAGGACTTGATCGATGTTGCGGAGGAAATCGTGGATGCTCCAGCCGAGATTGTAGAATCATAGATGATGACGGGCTAGAATCTTTTTGCTTGGGGGATGGTTTTATGAAACTTGCTTTTTACGTTCTTAAGTTAAAATATTATTGTGGCCATTTTTTTCCTTTCTCTTTTTGTTCCGGATAGTTCAACTGGGATCACGTAACTGGATCTTTAAAAGCTTCGATGTTCAATTTTATTTATTTTCCCGGATATTTTCTAGAACTAAAACACGCCTAGTGAGTGGATACATCTCATTATCCTCATAAAAACATGGGTCGATTGAGTCTCGGGTGGAGCAAAAATATATCTCCCGAAAAGCGTCATTTCCCACAGATGTTCTCTGTGAATAAGAAATCAGTTACAATTTGTGAACAGAACGAGAACGTACGCGTAGTTAGAAAGACCATAAAAGAAATATGAAGAATCACTCATACAGTTCAGAATCAGCCTCGATCAATATCATCCGAATATTGCCTCCACAAGAGTCATAAAACAAGGAAGGACATGACTTTAGATCTACTACATTTAGCTTGTGCATGCAGAATTGACAACCCCAAAACACGATTTACATTCCTGTCTCGTCTTGTCACACCAGAGACAACCCGCATGTAGACTGAACATCATCTAACCCTATATATCAACTCCAGTATATTATTAAATTTAAGTAAGCGCATAATATACTTGCCGGATTTTAAAGAGTAGGACAGAAATACAACGACCTCAGTGCCGCAACGGCGCAACGCAACGCAACGAAGCCCAACTCGACGAAGCCCAATGCAATGAATTCAATCCGCTATGCTTGATAATTATTGTTACCAATATACTAGTATTTTCCTCCAGAAAAACGTATGGTTATGATACTTGCTCGGTGTTGAGAGGTGTTATATCAGGTGCAAGCACGTACGGTTGCGACTCACCCTTCCTTGTACTTCCGTCCTACTCTTTAAAATCCGGCAAGTACAGCTTCAGTTCGAGGAATTAATAATTACATAAGAGATGGCCACCTAAAAATACTCGTGACAGGGGCTATCACACACAGATCAACAGAGGCTCCGTGTCATGCAGCATGACGAATGGCTCTCACTACCTCCCCTGTTCAGAAGCAGAATCTAAACTCCCCCTCTCCTTCATAGAAATACCTCTTATTCTGCTTATTCTGCAGAGATTTGGAATAGGCTTCCAGTACGAATAGTTGTGAACACCCACCTACCCTATTACCTGGTACAGTTCCACCTGTGACCAAGATACACTGTATCACTTGATCTGGATGTACAGCTGCCTAACCGTTTATGCTCATATAAACCCTCTAACAGTAAATGTAGTAAAGCACTCTAGGTACTCAACCGCATACGTATATCACAAGGACACTTAGCACCAAGCTTACCAAGGAACAAACGACCAAAAGCGTTCGCTAGCCGTTGCATATCCGCGGCCGCACTCTGCCCCCATTCAAATACGACTGCCAACCCCAACTCGATGAGTCCCGACCAGAGTCAACGCCCTCAGAACATTGCCCACACAGAAGAAGACAGCGACGACGAAATGTGGGACTGGGATATACGACCGAAGCCCTCAGAGGGCCCATCCGCAGAGCCATTACTGTCTGAGGAAGCCTCGGGCGAGAGGGGGAGAAGCAGCTATGAAGGCGTTGAAGTAGATGAGAGGGCTCGGGAAAGAAGGCGACATGAGATGCGGAGTAGAAGCCCAACCAGCGCTTCAGCTAGGTCAGTACCTGCGTTCCTCCAGCACTTGAGAGGAAGCTAACAGCGGTAGAGCTGAGAATCGTAAAAAGTACGTGATGGCGGCGATCTTTTTGGTCTTATCGCTCGTTTCGTTTGTGGTATTTTAATACAATGATGCAGCTTTGCTGCCCCAAAGTTCATCTCGCTTACTTAGCCTACAGGTACAAACTGAAACGGCTGAGTACATACAACTTGAACTCGGATGGCAGAAGGCATATGCCATGTTGTATGTCACTGCCCTCGGGCCTTCCACTGATTCCTATGAGCTTTATAATAACCCCGGTATAGATACTTAACCCACGGGTCCTGGGTTGTTCTCTGGCCTACTCAGCTCCTGATCCTCAAAATGCGCAAACCAAATACACCGTGGAGAGCATTCCTCACCGGGCACCTTAGCCACATAAAGACCACCGCCCAGATGATCATGGCGTCATCCACCCGCCTTTCTCACTCCCAAGTCCGGGCCGATCCGAAATACTATATGCTCAAAAGGATCGCATTCATAACCTGCGCTCTTACTTTTGCGGGGTCAACCTGGTACATTGCCGTTTCGCTCACCACTCCAAGTGATCTAACTGCAATTTATAACTGCAGCGCATTCTTCGCATATGCGTTCAGTATCCCCATGCTTCATGAGAAGCCAAGAGCGCTGAAGATCGGGAGTGTTGCAATCGCAATTATAGGTGTACTCGTTGTCGCATATGGTGATGGTGGTAGCAGCGTCGGCGAAAACGAGACACATAGTGAGAAGAGCCGTGTCCTAGGAAACATCATTATCGGTATCGGAAGCGTTCTTTATGGGTTCTATGAGGTTCTTTATAAGAAGGTAGCATGTCCGCCCGAAGGTACATCCTCGGGTAGAAGCGCTATTTTCGCAAATACTGTAGGCTCCGGGATAGGAGCCATTACTTTGGTGGGTAGCCCAGTAACTTGCCTCTATTAGGTCTGGTTATATTAATTATGTCTTGAAATAGAGTGTGTTATGGATCCCAATACCGATCCTGCATTGGACCGGCGTCGAGAAATTCGAGATCCCAAGCGGTGAGGCGGCTATTATGCTTGCCATCTCCGTATTCTCCAACGTTGTGTTCAGCGGATCTTTCCTCATTCTCATGAGTCTCACTAGCCCCGTTCTTTCTAGCGTTGCTGGGCTGTTAGTGCTCCACTGTTCTCTTATCTTAACCCGTTATACTAATAGATGGCAGACTCACAATCTTCCTGGTTGCAATAACTGACTGGTTCATATTCGGCACACCTATAAGCACTGCGGCGCTATTAGGTGGAATGCTAATTATTGCGGCGTTCGTACTCCTGAGTTGGTGCACATGGAAGGAAATGAATGAGGAGAAACCTAAAGTAGAGGATGATATTACTGATGAAGATGACTAAGGAATTTCTTTTCTAATAGTTCTTTCTCTTTCTTTTTTTGGTTCCTCTGTTTAGATATGACGACGGTAAGGACGTGGTTAGTATTCTCTTTGGGTTTGAATTTTAAGTCATGATGTAGCGTTGGGTCTACTAGATTCTTGGGATTTCTTATTTATTAGCCTCCATTTATTTTTCGTTTTATTCACACTGGATTGTTTCCAAAGACATAAAAACCAAGTATTCATACAGAATTACAATACCGCTCTGTATTGCCATAACCGTAGGGCTGCATGTAATTAATCAATTAAACAAGAAAGAAAAAGAAAAAGAAAAAAAACAATACCGCTCTACTACTAACTATACGTCGAGTGAGTCACTATGTCTCACTCATCTAAACCATCACAAAGATTAATGTAAATGCCTGTGTTACATGTATTAGCGTCGATAGCGTACTGTATCAAACGGCACTGAACTTTAGACAACCATATCTATCAACCCGCCTGTCAGTCCCAAGAACTATCAAGCTCACAACAGTCATTAGTTGAAACCTCATCTACTTAAGCACTGATCTATCCATACTTTTGGTAATCAAACACAAACTCACATCATCCTATGGCTCAACTAACCACTTTGGCATATAGACCTAATCCTAGTCCCGAGCCAAAGATGCATCTCAAGCAGGAGCCAAACTTCCATCACAACGAGCTTGAATCTGCACTCAAGCTTCTCCGCATCAACATCCGCCACCGCGGCCCCACCCGCACCCGCCAAGCGCAAGCCATCAGCGGCGTCCTCTGGACCACCCACGACGTTCCAAGCACAATGACCCTCGCCCAGCTCTTCAGGCGTCACATCAAAGGCGGCGTAGTCCCCGATCAGACATTTATTCTCCAGCAGATCGATAGGCGCTTTGAGCCCGTTGTTGGAACTAGGGTCTTTGTTTGGAACGAACTCAACATGACAAAGGTTGCGGATGCGGGTTGGGTGTTTGACGATGGGGAGGTCTGGTTAGGGAGCTATATCCCAAATGTTTGAAGGATTCGGGTGGAGATGGGTGAGGGGCGCTCTGCTGTGCTATTTCAGTTGAAGGTTTCTTTTACGGTGTGCTAAGGTTGTGGTCCCTTGATGCGGGCATGGTGTATCTATTGCGTACTATTGCTTGAAGGAGCAGAATTTGTCATCTGTCGTCCATGTACTATTTAATAACTCTCAATAAAAGTTGATGCATCAGTATTACTTGATAACTACACCTCGAGCCTTGAGTTTCCTCATCTCTTTTTATTCGCACAAAGAGTTAGCAACCAAAAATCACAAATGGGAAAGCACTGTCACGATCCCTGAGTAGCGCGATAGAGCTTTGTGAGATATGGGCAAGATACCGCCCATCTAGGTTTGTAACAGGTGGGGTCTAAGGGGCAGCGCGAGCCACAACCCCTCTACTCGGAGGGCTCAGATCAGCCCTGCTATTATGGTTCATAAGCAGATAAAATGCACTCGGGGGAGGTACAAAGATAGGAGCCGGTACAATTGTCTAATATAATATCGACCGCATGCTCAAGGGACTTGGCACTAATATTCCAGGGCTACTGCACAGAAAGGTCCCACATCTACAGCAGCAACGACCGCAGTATACTACTCAGTACAACCACCTGTATTCCACCCATACACTTACACCCAATTATTGGCGGTACCCCAGCCTAAACCTAGTTATCCTACTCAGCGCCAGGCTTGGCATAAGCAAATGCATTGATTTAAACTCCAAATCAAATCTCCCTCTTCTCAAATTTCCCCTAATTCGTGTTTGCTTCCCTCTCTATTCCTTTTAGCCCCTGCGCGAAGAGGCGATGAAAAGAGGGAGAAAAAAATGCTATCCTAATTAGGTGGCCCAGCTTAACCTCAACCTTAGCCCAGTCGTGCTCATTGCTAACAGTGTGAGATATTAACGAGTGATTTTCTATGATGCATATTGTTTTTTTTGTTTTTTTGTTTAATTCATTAATTGCGTATGATGCATAGTGTTCGTTTTCTAGTTCGTTCACGAACGCTGAGCACTCGATACCTCCCACTGTTCATGAGCGGATATATGTAGATACATGTATGCTCGATCCCATCCCCTCTTGGTTTGTGGGAAGTTTGGTGTACATGCTTAGGCATTCGCCCAAACCTTCCAAGTTCTATTGCTGCGAAGAGAGCAGACAAAGGAAATCACACTTTCCTAGCTAAGACAGAAAGTCTACGCTCATAATGCAGTCATCGGTGAAGAAAGTGTCACTTGAGTTCTTCATGAGGATCACTTGCAGGTAACATCAGGTCCGATCTCTCAACCTACACGCTCGATCATAGGTCAGGTAAGGCTCAAATGCACTACCACGCGAACCCATACACTGCCGCCTGTGTTTTTGCCAGTGAATATTATGGCACAGGTTATGAGTTTTAGTAGATGTTGTGAGTTTTACTAACTCATTATAATCAGCATTTCTCTCTTTGAGCTGTACGACAGAAAACCGAGCCACTCACATGACGAAAAAAATTAAAAACAAAAGAAAAGATACTACCACACCAAGAAGCCCAGGATTAGCCTTGTGGAAGAATCAAGCTTTCGACAAAGGCGAGGGTAAGCTCAGTCTTCATACTAATTAGCCTTGGCTATTAGAAACATGGCCATTCGCCCATTTTTGCCACTGATACCCGTTTCTCCAATTGGCATGCTCTATTTTCATTAGCTTTTAATGACCAATGCCTTCCTTGGAGATATACAAAAAAATTCGACTTATAGCCCGTTGATTATACGGGGGAAGGCCTTCAGGGACGGTGTCTAATTACCTCAAGAGGACAAATGGTATTAGCGCTCAACCGAAGTTAGCACCGGATAGGTCAAATCTATGTTGTGTCAGGCACTGCCTTTAGGCAAGCTTCGATCGAAACTTCCTATGGCTTCATTCGAGTTCATAGGGCTGGGACATGCAGTATCACAGAGGGGTACTGTGACCTCATTCGCTACTACTAGCCGCATTGCAGTGTTCTCTCTTGAGTGCATTGCCTCCCTCCACGTGCGTGCGCATGTTAATGAATCTAAGAATCATATGGTTTGTTGATAAGATTAGGGATTTCTGTAAGCAACCTTGGCACTGATATCTGTGGTTGGTATTTAACAATCGGTAGATCCTTACTATCTTCGTTGACTGGCTCCCTTACAAAGCATAGATCTTGCACAATTGTCAGCTCAACGCACAACGAGTACATGGATTCGGATTATTTGCTGGATACTTAAGTAATTAAGAGATTGGGCTTATTTTTTGGTAGTTATCACGATGTTTTATTCTTGCTAAGCTAGAAACTTTGGTAAGTGCACAATTATAAGCAGTCGACAGAAAATACACAGGGATATATTGTTTCCAATATTTTACCTTGATTAAAATACTGGATATTTTTTTGCGGCAAATATTATCATTATTTGATTGCTTGGACGGTTTGAATAGAGCAAGAGTACCAGCGCCGTCGAGTCTTCAGAATGAATATAAAAACTCCAGTAATTCCTTCCAAATCTGAACTCATCATCCCGCAAGATCCTCTCTAAAGTCAATACAGTACTCCTCTCAGCAGTAAACCTCAAGCCTGATAAATCTCAGAACTCCTGCTCTCCTCAATTTTTAACCACCTTCTTTCTCCCCTATCAATTCCCAAAATGCGCGTTACCACCGCCCTCCTCAGTGCTACTGCACTCCTAAGTACCACCGTCTCCGCCGCTATCTCTATCGGTACCATTGCCGGCACCAATGGCGTCACCTATAACGTCGCCTGGACCACTGGCACTTCCGACCCTTGCAACCAGGACACCAAGTTCCTGAGCACCTTCCCCGCCAACCCCTGTGGGCATTCCTTCCAGCTTGGAAACGATGCGGGCCTCACTCTCGAGGGTTGCGGAGGTCCTTTGTGGATCAATCAGAACGGGAGGTTCAAGGATAACTGTGTGAGCGCCGAGAACCTGGACAAGCCGTGTGGAAGCGGCAGCTTTTGGAGCGGGAACTTGCACAAGACCTTCCAGTGCCCTGGTTAAACGATGTTTCTATGGGAGATTTCGTTTCGTATAGTTTGAATTGCCTTTCTTTCAGGCTTTAGGATGTTGTTTCGTGGGTTCGGAGAGGGATGACTCGAGTGTTGGCTCTACTGCTTCTGCTTCTTCAGGCTTCTTCTTTGTGTTGGATTGAGCTCATGTAGCCAAGCCTCAATGACTGAGGTCTCTCTTTTGTCGATAGTGGTGGACTTCATTTTTATAAAACGATTATAACCCGACTTTGTTCGTTGCGTTTTTCAAGGTTTAGCGTGCTTTGGTGATCACTGTGAGGATTGAATGATGTGTAAAACATGCCTGTATCAATAGACTGTAGGTGCTCTGGGTGTGGTGACAAAGAGTAGGGTTGAACTTGAACTTACAAAAGGCGTACACCTGGGCATACCATATAGATAGCACTAGGGTTGGGTTAAACGTATGCATGATTTCACAAATATACTCAAACATTCTACAATCAGGTAAGCTTGGCAATTGGGTAATAATGGACACCAGATCTAGCTAGACTAAAGACAAGTCTCAACGTTTCGAGACCCTTTAAGGTGATTACTTGTATCCTAAGCCAACTAAACATAACTATTGGCTTAAATCAATCGATTATATATGGTTAGAAATAGACTGCCGATTTTGATTTTAATACGATATTGACATTGGTATGTTTCGCTTTGAGTTGTTTGAAACAACATAGATCTGCGCGTGAGTGATGTCTCATGATCGCCGAGCCCTACTAACCTGCGGAAAAGTGCGTCCTACCACACTTTAGGCAGTCCATTTCAACATCGCCTGCTACCACCACAAACAATCTCAACATTTCGTATCACATTAAAAATTCACAGTCTTCACATGCAAAGGTCAAAATAAAAAAGAAGCGCCAAGCCGCACACACGATTGAACAAGAAAGCAAATACTTTTTCCCAAACTACGGAAATATACAAAATAGTCGAACCCTTTTTACTAATAGCGTTCTCTATCCCCCTCCCCCAACCGTCACCAAGTCACCCACCTCCAAGAACAACGGAAATTTAGTTGTTCTCAGGGCGGAGAGACCTGACGGCCTTTCCGGCGCGCCAGATCTCCATGTTGCGGATCTCCTCCAACTCAGCCTCGAACTTCTTGCGGTACTCGGGGTCAGAGTTGTACTCGAGGGAGCGGGTGGTCTCCTTTCCGGTCTTGACGGAGTCGTAGAGGTCATTGAAGACGGGCTTAAGGGTGTCCTTGAAGCGGTTGGTCCAGTCGATGGCACCACGGCGGGCAGTGGTGGAGCAGGCGGCGTACATCCAGTCCATACCGTGCTGTTGAATTCTATCAGTATTTTCTATTATCAAGGGAAAGAAGCTGTGTTGGTGAACTTACTCCTCCGATCAAGGGGTAGAGAGACTGGGTAGCCTCCTCAACGGTCTCGTTGAAGGCCTCAGATGGGGAGTGGCCGCGCTCACGGAGAACCTCGTACTGGGCGAGGAACATACCATGGATACCACCCATCAAGCAACCACGCTCACCGTACAAGTCCTAATCCCTCGTTAGTCTCAATTCCATAAAGAACCAAATAATACGTGGGTATGACTCACAGAGTAGACCTCCTTCTCGAAGGTGGTCTCGTACATGTAACCGGAACCGACAGCGACACCGAGGGCAATAGCCTTCTCCTTGGCCTTGCCGGTAACATCCTGCCAGACGGCAATGGAAGAGTTGATACCACGGCCGTTCTTGAAGAGAGTGCGGACGGTACGTCCAGATCCCTTAGGAGCGACGAGGATGACGTCGATGTCAGTGGGGCACTCGACCTTGGTCAAGTCCTTGAAGACGGGGGAGAATCCGTGGGAGAAGTAGAGGGTCTTGCCCTTGGTGAGCTGGGGCTTGATAGCGGGCCAGGTCTCGGACTGGGCAGCGTCGGAGAGAAGGTTCATGATAATGGTACCCTTGGAGATGGCCTCATCAACCTCGAAGAGGTTAGTGCCAGGAACCCAGCCATCCTGGATGGCATCCTGCCATGAGGCACCGTTCTTTCGGACACCTGGGTAGATGTTAGTGACAATGTTTGGTGGGTGAGATTGGACGAAACATACCAATGATGACGTTCAACCCATTGTCCCTCAAGTTAAGACCCTGTCCGTGTCCTAAACCAACCATTAGCCTTTAGAACAAAGAACTAAGGACAATAATTCGGTTAACAAACCTGAGAACCGTATCCGATCAAAGCAAGAGTGTCGTTCTTGAAGTACTCCTGTGAAACGAATAACCATAAGATGCTGTTCCTTTACCCAGGACAAAAAAAGAAACACTGAAGGAGAAAACTTTTTTTCTCCTTCAATATCTATAATTGTGACTCACCAAGAGCTTCTCTCTGGGCCAGTCGGCACGCTCTACACAAATTCCATCAGCAATTGTTCCCCAGAAAAAATATTTTTCATAAATACTCAAAATCAAGTGAATTGAGTCACATACCGTAGACATCCTCCTTAACACCAGCAAAGTCAATGGTCTTGATACCCCTCTTCTGGACCGCAGCTGGGATACGAGGAGCAACAGCGACGGTAGCTCTCGTGGCAGCAAAGGCAGTTGAGATAGCCCTCTTCTGGACGGGCGCCGCAATCTGGCGGGCAACGTTTGAGCGAAGGGCTCTGGTGAAAGTTCGTGATGCCATTGTTGGTTTGTATGGGTGGTGTGGGGAGGGAGGGAGGGTTTACAAAGGGTTTGGGGAAGGTGAGGAAAGCACGGAAAGGATGGGGGACTCTTCTTTTTTTTTTCAGTCTCCTCAATTTGTATGGGGTTTGATTTTTCGTGCTTTTTTTTTCTTTCTTTTCCGCGTGGGGAAAGGACTAGCCAAGATAGGGCCAGGGTCACAACCGGGTGGGGTCTTGGCGTATGTGGAACATCTAATAAATATTACTGCTGGTCAATCATTAACATAACGGGCCTCTTGAATTCACCGAGGACACATATTTCTTCATACATTAATTGCACCTGTTCTAGAGGTAATTTCATATTCCTGCCAAACACTCGTCAATTGACTTAACGTGCGGTAATATTCTCAAGAACCCTGCACAAAAAACACTTACCCCAGATTATCCAAATAAACCACCATCACATCCATCACAAGTGGCCACATAAGCCTTTGTAAACGCCCTTTCCCGTGTAACACCTGCAGTAGAGAAATTTTTCGTTCTGTTTCAAAAATGTACCGAGGGCTGATGTCAGCTTGTTGGTCTTTCGTAAACTCAAAAGCCTACTGCTGCGGGCCTGTAGAGCAACATTTCCACACATCAGCACTCCCACAACACTTCTTTGGTAAAGACTTCAAATTCTACCACTAGATTAAGGGAAATTGAGCTCAACCGGTCGAGAGTGCCCGATATACAATTGACGTAGAGGGCTTGATTTCTAAAGTCAAGGGACCAAGCCCAAGTAATTGCTGACAAAACCATGTGTATGTATGCAGGTATTAATCTAAGCCAACTGTCAAAGCCAGCCAGCCACAACTTCGGTTCACAGCCCATCACTCGTCACAGCCAACCCCCCAATGACGTCTAGTGTTAACATACCTCTAGAAACAATAACCAAGATTTCTACCAAGCTCTATCACTCCAAGGACACGTAGAAGCGCTCCGATAGAATGGAATAAATGGAATAAATGGAATAAATGGAAAAAAGATATGTTTAAAAAATCGCTAACTAACACCGCCCCCGCCCCTCGAAATAACATCGACCGCCATCGATTTAAAACATATTCAAGTCATCTAGACATAAAAAGAGAGCCGCCCCCATGAGCTCCTGGAAGGTATAATGAAACGAGAGATATATAAGATGTTGCAAAAAGGAAAAGGGGAAGGAACACAGCCAAAACGCAAAAAGCAAAGCAGAGCAAAATCAAAAGAAGAGAGGGGGAGAAAAAATATGACACCATCTATTTCATCTTGAAGCAATTGGAAGACAAAATTAAATAGTGAACATGACCACATAGGAAGTCAATAACAAAGGAAGAACAGGAAAACAAGAGAAAATGGTAGTTAAAAAAAAAAAAAAGAAGAACTCATGCCCACAGACGCCCGTTCCGTTTCCCCCACTCCTCTATCGTACCAATGATGATGAAGGACGCTCCGGTTTATTTCAACACCTTATCGAACTGGACGTTCTTGATATACCCACCCTGCATGGAGCTCTTCACATTCCTCTTGAAATTCTCTCTCGTGAGTCGGAGATCCTCTGCGGCTTCCTTGTTCAACGGGTCGGACGGGTTTGGCTCGAGGAACAAGAACTACAACCCCGAAAGTCAGTCCTCATACATCCACCCAACACCAAACACGCCAGAAAAGAAGAAGCAAAACATACCTGCAACCCCACGATCACCGCATTCAAATTCAGGACCGGCTTCCAGTCCTCACGCAAGATGTTCAGGCAAACGTTACCCTCAAGGTCGATGTTCGGGTGGTAGATCTTTTGTGTGCACTTAACCTTCGGCGGCTCATGCGGGAAGTTTTGGTTAATCGCGAACGTAAAGTTGAACGATCCGCCCTTATACATTCCTACAACCTATCAACTCCCACTCGACCCGATATCCACAGAGAAAAGAAAGGACACTACAAACCTTCATCCGGCTCAATAGTCAACGTAAAATTCAATATATCCTCCGGGTCCGGGAAGTTCGTCCTCATCGTCGACGGTAGCGCCAACTCCGTAATATCTGTACCAGGCACCCAATCAGCCCACACTCGCATCCCCGCCATCGCCCCCCCTCCTCTCCCGCATCTACTATAACAAACCTTTCTGAGCGCGCAGCTGAGCAGCCGTCACCTTCTTCTTCTTCGGGCCGCCCTCGGCATTAGACGCCGCCTGCTGCTGCTTCTGCACTCTGTCAGCTCCTGCTCGTACTGTACTGTACTGTAGTACACTGCTCTTCTATATCTAGGAACTTACCATAGACCAGATCTTCAACATGATGGACGGCTGTTAGGTTTCGGGTGGCAACAGGAGTGTGATGTTGATAGCCGGGAGTAGGAGGTAGGATAGTGATGGCGAGTGAGTAAGTGAGTGGGGGGGTGTCAACAAGAAGAGGAAGCGAACAACTCCTTTCTTCCTGGATGTGGTAGATAGTAGAGTGTAGGCAGTTGACAGGTGTAGCGCGGGGTAGGTAGGAAGGTAGGAAGGAATAGATTAGTAGTAGTGGTGTACGATGCACAGAAACTCGCTCGTGGTTGTTGGTTGGGTGTAGAATAGAGTGGTGGGGCTCAACTAAAAGTGCACTGGAAGGGGGAAGGGAGGAGGAGGAGCAGGAGAGCAGAAGAATCGAGGAGGAGGAAGGAAGGGAGGAAGGAAGATGCCGGTGAACAACCACGTCAAGATATCTCTCTACTGTCTACAAGCAGGTACTCCCACTCTCACTCGAACACTCTACTCTACTCTCTGAAATCTCACTGACTGGGCTGAACTGGACCGAACAGGGGGGGAATCTCATGCAAGTAACTGTCCGTACCCACGAACGAACGTGCTGGGCGGGCAAAGTTGGTATGGCCAGCCGATAACGACTTCTGACAGCGAGAACCTCGAAAGGCTTCTTTGGCACTATACCGTAGGTGAGGATACATGTGGTTAGTATGTAAATACCATTCTACTCACTCGCCAGTCTCGCCTACTTACATACCCCACCACACGCTGCACACGCACGACAACGTCAGACCGCCAAAAAACCCGACCCCCTCGGTCACGATCGGAATATCCTGATCAGGTACCAGACCTCTCATTTGCGCAATTCAAAGGGTTTCCAATTTTCTCCGAGCGTATACACTACATGGGCCGCGAAAAAAAAACAAAGGAATAAAAAATCAATAATCAATCAATAAACTGAACTGGTACTAAAAAAGAAAAATCGACTTGTTTGTTTCTTATGCCAGCGCATTCAAAAGATGAATCAAAAACTCACAAAAGAGGCAAAATTCTGCTTGCAAAAGACAGAGAAAAAACCGAATCAATAAAACAGAAAGTGGATAATAAAAAAGAGAGAACACCGATACCCAAAACCCTGATACCCCGCCTAACCTATCCTTTCAGTATTACAATTTCTGGTTCCTAGGTAATCAACCCCATTCCCTTACAAGACTCTTTCACACTCCTGGAAAGCCTCCTCGTCGCTTGCATCAAGCACGTCATACTCATCATCAGTCAAAAAGCTGTCGAGGTCATCAGCAATGGAGTTGATGTCGAGGCCATCGTCAGAGTCTTCTGGCAGGCTCCTGGTGTCACCAGAGGTAACGGAAACAGCAGGAACGGAAACAGCATCAACTTCAATCTTGGCAGAACTTGCAGAACTCAAATCTTCAACGGATGCAACGGGGCTCTCAACGGGGAGTCTAGGGAAAATCATCTGTGATGAGGCCTGTGAGCTGTCAACCACATCTTCAAACGCCTCGGGTTCAACCTGCTTAGGCTCCTCGACCTTGGGCTCCTCAATCTTTGGAGCCTCAACAACCTGGATGTCACACCACAATTTGCTTCCAAATCGGGTTCCGTCAGGAGCAGTCAAACGCCAGTACGAAATGTGGCGGCGGTTGGCGTGGAGAGGTGCCTTCAAGTTAACAGTGAAGCTGACAGTCTCACCAAAAGCGACGTCATGCTCGATCTTTGTAGCGTTAATGCTCTCGGGCTCAAACATGTAGTCTCCAGCAGTGAACTGGGGCTGAACACCGGCAGGCCAGCAGGTTGGGCCGCTGTTTACCAACTGCCAAGTCTGAGAGAAATTTGAGCCAGCGACCATTATAGCACCGTCCTGGATGACCTCAGAGATGAAGTTGGCCTGGAGGGGTTCCTCTGGCTTCTCCTTCTCCTCCTCAACATGCTCGATGTGTTCAGGCTCTCCAACGCTGCTTTCTGGCGCAGGCACATACTCTTCTGTAGGCTTAACATCTACAACAGTCTGCACTTGAGTGGCAGCGTTGGAGGTAGATGCAGGTGGGTTATAATGACCATCGCCCATAACTCTAGAGTTTTGTGAATCTGGCTCAAGGGTTGTGACGTGAACGTTGCGAATAGGGGACTTGAGCTTGATAAGAGGATGGGTCGCATTATGGGTGTTGATGGGCGAGGCCTCACACGACGCACAGAAGTCGGTATCAGGGCAGACAGCGCACTTGTACCTGTCACCATCGATCCAACTACGACGGTGTTTGTCGGCACACAGAGGACCATCACAGTAGACACCGTAGTGCTTGGCTGTGTTTCTTCTGGTGTTCACATCCATAGTAGGAAGTGGGTCATAAATGGGGACAAAGCGATGCCCATGATGGTTGAGTGGCGCAGTGACGATGCACTTGGAGCAGTAGTCCCAGTCGGGGCAGCTCATGCACTTATGTCTAACGCCGTATATTTTCTATATCTAAATTAGCATAAGGAGTTTTTCTGAATGTTTGTTTTAACCACTTACACCATCACAGCCATCACAGCGCGCGAAGTGGCAGAAGTTTCTTCCAGGGGAAAGAAGACTGGTTTGAAAGGCACTAAGCTTGGTCTCGGGTGTGGCGGGAACGAACTCGTGGCGAGGATGGTGTCCATGCTTGCCAGCAACGTGACAACTAATGCAAAGGTCGTAATCGGAGCACTGAACACAGCTGACAAACTCCTTTTCAGGAAGAACTGCGTAGAACTGTAAGCATTAATCAAAACAGGTGACATAGTTGATATACATACCAACAATGCAGCAGTTGCACGTGCGTGTAAGCTCATGCTCCTCCTCTTCCTTCTCTTCGACAGCAGGTTCTGGGACTTTTGCCTTGATTGACTCCGTGACGCTGGACACGATGGTTCCACCGGTCAAAGTACGCTTGATCAACCAGTGAGAAGAGTCCTTGCAGTGAGTTCCACGTCCGACACAAGCCTGGCAGAGATCATAGTCTCCTTTATCACATATTCCACAGTGGTAGTGCACATCATAGATGTTTCCCTCACATGAGTCACAGAAGATGGCGTAAGTGAAAGCCGGGGACTTGATATCAAGAACCTCCGAAACAACAGAGGGGGGAGAAACCACAGAGGGTGCCGGCTCGGGAGCAGAAAACGGAGCCGGAACTGGGGCCTCCTTCTCGTGCTTCTCAACCTCTTCGCGGACCGTCTCGCGCAACTTTGCAAGATACTCCTCGCCATTCAAGAATGACGAAACAGCGTCAGCCACAGCTCTATCAAGCTGGGCAGGAGATACCTCCACAGAAGCCGGAGTCGCCGGCTCTGGTGTGGCGACAGCAGGTGGCGAAACAAGCGAAGTGGTTGAGCGGTAAGCCGGTGGCGAGGGGCGAATCTCGGTAGTAACAAAAGAGCTGCCTCCAGAAACAACTGTTTTGCCGGTTAGCTATCAAGCAAAATGACCCAAAAAGGAAGGGAGTGGGGAAAAAAACGTACCACTCTCCTCGGCACCTTGGTAGATGATTGTAGCCTTGAACCTCAGCTTTAGCTTAGCTTTGGCAGCTCTGTACAGCTGCTTGTAGACAGCCGGGTTCTTCGGGTCGAGAATGACATAGCTTCCCGCGCTATCCGAGTATCTTTCAAAGACCACCGTCTGGTCATCCGGAATCACCAATAACTCGCGGAGCTACATCAATACGAAACACATCCCATTAGCGTCATGTCATGTGGGCCCGATGATGATAGTCGGGGTTGGTTGCCTGAAGGTAGCAACATAGGACCAAACGCAACAAGCGAGAACGTGGGCAGGCTAGAAAAAACAAAAAACACACACAAAAAAAAAAAGGAGATGGGGGGAAGAGAAGGGAGCGAAAAGAAATAAAGTACCTTATGGGGGAGAACATTCGCACCAAGGTCTCTCAGGGCGAGCTTGAACCGACGTGTCTGGTTTCCAATGGTGACCTTTGCTGTGATGAGAGTATCGGGTGGCAGAGTACTGTGGCTAGCCATGACGACGATGGTACTTTATTATGTACCGTTACACTGAACTGCTGCAGGTGGTAACCGGGGGGGGGTCAGGTCGGGGTGTGGGTGAGTGTATTGTTGTGAGGTGAAGCACTGGCAGTGGGAAGAGTTGAAGAGTGAAAGAGAGAAGAGGAAGAAGAAGGGAAGAGAGAGAGGAAGGGAGGAAGGTTGGGGTAGAAGACGCAGTGTGTGGTGAGGGAAGTGTGAGTACTAAGGCAGGCAAGGTAAGTGTAGGTATGACAGATCTTCTTCTAGCGGCGGTACTCAGCAGCACGACCCCCAATCCTCTAACTCATGTACCTTACAAAGTGGTAGTCTCGCCTCCAAACCCCAGCTTGTGTGTGAGTCTACTGTCTACCCTATCCCCGTAACGTAAGAGGCAAAGGCATCGAGAGAGGGTGGGCTGTGACGAAAAAGGAGCGCGAGAGCGCTCAAAAGCTCCCCCATTACGCAAATCCCCACCTCTACTCACTTCATCCTCACTGACCCCCCTCCACCCCCACCGCTGCTTTAAACCTCTTCGGAAACACGACCAGATCATTCGCGCCTAAACTCCAGTGGGCGAGAGCCGAGCCGGGAAATATTCCCTTATCGTTATCGAAACCCGCAGGCACTGTAACCATCTACATAATGTAGGTATACTTGAATCTCGTGCGTGTATCGAGTGGGCGCTCTCCCCAAAGCTCTCCTCTTCCTCTTCCTCTTCCTCTCATTTCGCCTCACTCGCCATCCACAAGACCCGCAAGAAAACACAAAGAGCCTCATCCACATATTCTCAGGCATCCAACCACAGACTACGGACATACATACGTAACCCGCCTAACGGCAAAGCTGCGAATCGAAATCGAAAATCGGTGCATCTGGATGGATGGTAATCACTCAATCACAAGGGAAACAAACTTTGACTCTAACGAGGCTCGAACCTCCCCTTTTCTTAAACTCTACGTACAGACACCGCCTACTTTTCTGCCAGTTATGTATGCTGCCAGTCAGGCAAGCTCAAGCTCAACCGAGAAAAGTAGGCAGGCACACACATGTGTAATCAGGCTCGAAGTTATAAATCCGAGAGTACGCGCAGACGTCGTAAGCAAGACAGTGACCTCGAGTCAAGGGCTCACCGCCGATCACCAGGCCCCCCACAAATTGACTACACTTCACATCACTTCAAATACACTTCAAAACAACTCGAAGATTCCACACACACAGCTCAAGATAAAATTAATAATCCCAACCGCTGTCCGCCCAAACCAACCTGACCCAACCCACCCAACCAAACCAGACATAAAAAAGTTGAAAGCGTGAAAGAAAAAACCCCGATGGGTAGGTGAGAATCGCAGAATGAGGTAGAAAATAAAGAAAAAAAATAGAAAAGGAACCCAGGCTTCTATTACGCATGCACACAACAGCCCCGCCACCCTTTTTTTTATTCAGAATACCCGAGGAATATGGAAGAGAGAAAGAAAGAAAACCAGAAAGGAAAGGAGAAAGATCAGAGGAAACGATCGGTAGGGGGGAAAAGCGGTTCCTAGAGAGTAAGAGTATTGATATTGAAATAAAAGAAAAAGGTTACAACTGCACTTAAGGAAAAAAGATCCTCCAGATGTCCGTCCAACCCGGAACGTGAAACATTTGACAAGGGAAAAAAAGAGAAAATGCAGTGGTTCGTTAGTAGTAGACGGAGGTAGTTAGAGAAAAGAAAAGAAAAAGCCCTTTAATCCTTTCGTGCCAAAAACAAAAACAAATAATAAAACGAGATTTTTTTTTCTTTCGTGAAGTCAAAACGCATGAAAATCAGTTAACCTCATACAAGTCTCAAAACAAGACATCAAAAAAATGCGATCAAAAAATAACGACGCATACAACAAAAGGCGGAAAATTCCGAGATGATACCACAGCAAACCAAAGTAAGTAAACCGCAGACTACAAACGAAATGACTGTAATAGGAAGGGAAGAAAAAGAAAAAAAAAACCCATCTACTGAGCATAGTAGACGCCTTGCTGCTGAGGAGGAGGACCCGGAGGATAATAGTACACCGCCCCGTTCGTGGGCACACCATTCACGGAGCCATCCGGCGCTGGGGTGACCGCTGGGGGATAGTAGTACTGGTTCGGGTCCCACGCTGGAACGTTTGGAACAGTCGAGTAGAAGACCATTCCGTTACTCTCCTGAGCAATCGTAGTAGGGCCAGAAGGTGTGGCGGATGGCACAGGGGGCTGGGGTTGATGCGGTTGGACAGGGTGCATGACATAATGGCCGGGAGCCCCATTTGGCATGGGCGAGGGGCCAGAAGGAACATACGGGGGTGGTGGGGGGACAAAAGTCCGGGGATCATGGTGCATTGGCTGCTGGTGGGGCATTGGGTGTATCATTGGCTGCTGGGGGTATGGGTAGTAGCCTCCTTGTGGTGGATATTGGGATGGGTGGAAAGATCTAGCGTGGACAGCGCCTTCCGGGATGTGCGAGAGTGGTGTTCCCGATGTCTGCGAAGGGTAGGACGGATGCCTAGAATGGGCGTACATGTTGTGTGGGAGATTGGGAGTGGGGATATTCTCAGGATAGACGCCATTGTATCCCTGGTAATGCATAACTGCCGGCGAATCAATCTCAGCAACATTAACAGCCTTTTGAGGGCGTGGCTGATGCATAGGGATCTTTGGTGTAGCCCTATGCTCACGGTATGGAATAGGGTTCACTGACGGGGTGTAAGATGGCGGTGGGTGCTGGGGTACCACCTTGGGAGTGAGCGCCTGAGCCGGGGCTTGGCCTGTGTTTTGAGGTGCTGCTGCTGGCGTTTGCTGCTGCTGCTGCTGCTGCTGCTGTTGCTGTTGCTGCGCTGCTGGCATTTTAGGCGTACCAGGTCCACCTGGAAGCTTGACGATAGGCCTTGTTGGAGTCTCTTCCAAAGGCCTCGACGAAGATGCGTCAACAACAGCGTTTGGGGCCTGGGATTGGCTTTGTGGCGACGGCTGCTGTTGCTGTTGCTGTTGCTGTTGCCGTTGCTGTTGCTGCTGCAACTGCTGAGGATGTGGGTGCTGCTGATGCTGATGCGTAACCTGACCTGCTGCCTGAATTATGGGCCTGACCTCGTGCTGCAAAGAGGATCTTCTCGACATACCCACTGAAGGCGAATAGCCAGTGGAACCTCCGTAGACACTTCTTCCCTGGCTGTAGAAATTGCCCCTACCCCGAGCTCCCCCGCCTCTGATATATCCAGAACCCCCAGGCCTCATAGCTCTGGGGATAAAGATGAACGACCTTGTAGGACTCGGATAGATGTACCGTACAGGAGCATCTGGAAGAGCAATTCTGACTGGCTTATCTCTCCGCAGCGGAGGCCGGTGGTACGGGAGCCTTGTGTAAACCTTTGAAGGAACCTCACTAAAGACTATGGGATCCTTCATCTCTGGAAGATGCACCTGGATCTGCACGGTTCCTTTATAAACCGTCCGTCCAAAGGACCGCGGTGTGTCTCCACCTCCGCGTTGGCGGTTTCCAACAAAGGACTGATTGTTGTTGTTATTATTGCTGTTATTATTCTGGTAGGCCGGTTGCGGGCGACGTACTTCCTGGTGTACCTCCTCGTGCATATCGTGTTGCCACTGCTGCTCTAAAGGTGTTGGCTGAGGAGCAAAGTCACTTCTAGGATGTCAGCCCATGTCCTGAAAGCATGGCAATTGAGTTACTCAAGAATTGAGAATTCATCTACATACCCAGAGTACCTTCCTCTGCCACCTCTTGCACCGCCTCTGAAAGGCCTGAACCCATTGCTCCCTTCCGCATGCCTATGGTCATGTAGGTAGAACCCTCCTCTGTTGGGTACAAACGTTGGGTCAGCGTCCCTGCGCTTCTTGTAATCCTCGTGGTCCCCACGCCTCTTATCCTGGGGCTTCTCCGGTGTCTTCCCATCCTGGGGCGCCTCCTCCTCCGTGCCTTCCTGGTCCTGTGGCGTCGTTTCCGTAGCACCCTCCTCTCCCTCTCCTTCCTCATCCTCCTCCTCCTTCATGTCCGTGAACTCCACGACTTCCGCATCTTCAGTGCCCGCATGCCATTCAACATCATCTCTGTCTCCTCGCTCACCGCATGCACCTTGGTGCCCTTCAGCGCCTTCCCAATGATAAGGACAGATTTCCCATTCCCCTTTGCCTGCTGTTGCTGCTGCTGATCCCCGGCGCCGTTGACCACCACCGGGCCCCCTTCGTCCGCCTCGTCGCCCTCATCATCAGTCAGCGATCCCTCCGTCGCAGCATCATCGTCACTGATTCCCGAGTCGTCAGTAAAGGAATCTTCCTCAACGCCCAGCTCCTCATCTTCATCCTCCTTTTTGCCTCTGCGGCGGGAGACGATCCGGTTCTTGCGGCGCGAGACACCAGGCATGATTCGCTTTGGCGGGGATTTCTGCTTTTGGGAGAGGGGGGGGGGGGGGGTAGAGAGAGATAGAACCGCTACAGCGGATTCTGTGGAGCGCGCGGGGGAGAGAGAGCCGGAATGAAGGTTTGTTGGGGTGTGTGAGGGTGGTGAAGTGAAGTGGATTTATAGTTGTTAGTTGTTTTATCCGTAGAAAATGTTGTTAATGGGGAGAAAAGGTTGTTAATGACAGCGAGCGGCGTGTGGGTGTGCGCGCGCGCGGGGGTGTTGTAACTTGCTTGTATCGAATGAGCAGCAAACGATTGAGGAGCAAGGTTAAGGGATAGAGATCGTCAGACGAAGGTAGAAGAAATAAAAAAAGGATTCCTTCTTATGAGATTTTCAAGAAGCTGTGGGTCGGGGATAGAGGGGGTGGTGGCCTAGTGGGTTTTTGATTCTTTTTTTTCTCTCTCTTGTGAACTCTTGTCCCGGCGGATCGATTAAAATAAGCTTAAGGATGTAGGTTTTTTTTCTTTTCTTTTTTTCGTGGGCTCGTCAAGTCATAACAAGTAACAAAAAAAAAGAGAGAGGAGGAGGAAGAAGAAAAATATCACTATCACAATCCAAACAAAAAAAGAAAAGAAAGGAAAAAAAGAGAGTGTGTGAGCGAGAAAACAGACGGGCTTTCTAGCTAGATCTGCTGTGCTGCTGTGCTGCTGCGGTGGCGAAGAAGAAGAAGTAAAAAAAATAAAATAAAGAATTATATGGTAGATATGATGTAGTAGTAGCAGATATAGTAGTGGCGGTACTAGTAGCTAGGATAGGACGGTGCGGGTCGATTGGCAATTAGGTGTTGGAATGTCCGTTAATACTAGCGGGAGCGAAGCAGCGCCAGTGTCCGTTATAAGAGAAAAAAAATATTTCTCGGGGGAGAGGGAGGGAGAGAAGGCGCGGGACGCAGGCTCTTAATGGTTGGCCGGGTTGGAGATGGAAGATGAGCTTGTGTGATAGAATCTCAAGCTGGGGGACGCAGGAGTCGAGGAGAAGGATCGAGGAGGAAGGAAGGAAGGGGAGAGGAGAGGGGAGGAGAAGAAAAGAAAAAGAGCTGCAGATTTGAGTAGAGTACAGATATCGTGTACTGGATGTTATGTAGGTAAGGCTAGCTACCTAAGAGTGACAGCAGCAAGCAACTAGCACTAGTAGAGTCTGAGTAGAGTACAACAGATTCTGTGTGCAAGTGTAGGGTATGTAATAGTAACAGCACTGGGCAGCAGCAGAGATTGTGGGAACACTACAGCTACAAGCTAGCTCAGCTACCTCTTAAGATCTTGCTACTATCTGCACAGGGAGATAGATAGTGGATAGAGGCTGAGTGTATGTATGTCAAATGTGGATAAGTTATGTATGTAGCATGTAGGGATAGGGATAGAGAGAGAGAGCGCTGTTAGAGATAGGGCAAGGGGAGAGGGATAGAACGTTTCAGAACACGAACAGCAGAGGAAGGAGGGGGAGGGGGAGGGAGGGAGGGGGAGAGAGGTGTGTGGAGGAGGTAATAGTGGGTATTGTAAAGCTACTTAGCTAGCAGCTACTGTAGGGAAGATGGATGGCAGGCCGCAATAATCAAGGCAAGCAATGATCAAATATCCTCTTACTCACTCACTCCGCACTCGCTAACTTTTTAGTACATGTATGTACTCATAGCTGCTGCTGTGTTCTTCTGCTTCTTCTGCTCACTCCCTCTAGCTCTTCTTCCCCTTCCATGCATGTATGCAGCCGCTTCCCCTTCCCCTTTCCCTCTCTCTCCTCCTCCTCTTTTCTTCCCTCTGTGACAGTAGCTATGATACCACTCACTTCCCAGGCTTCTTGCTTCTCTGCGTCAGTGCCAAGTCTCCTCACCTGCGAACACCTTCCCTCTGCTGCACTTCCCCAATTCCACCCAACTAACTGACCACAACACAACCTCACACCTTTGAACCTCACACCAAATTACAAGCCCTCACATCCGGAAAAACCACAACCCACAAACCTGCCTTCTCCTCCGCCTCCGCCTCAGAAATGATATATTATCATCACTCCCCATCCAACCATCAACAAAGGAGGAGCAGAGAGAGAACAACAATTATCAGGATTTCCACGAACAGCATCAATCCCCTTGTTCTCTTTAATTCGAATTCCCTCTCCCCCTCCTCCTCCACCACCCCCCCCCCCCCCACTATGCCCCACCAACAAAGAACTCTTATCCGATATTATCCTCTGCATGATAGACACAATCCGGAGATCTCAAAAAAATAAAAAGAAACGCAACCAACTCTCGGACGCTTGGACGCTTGGACGCACTTCTCCCATTATCATTTTCCCACGCCCATGGGCCAATGATAGCGGTGCCGGCCATGAACCGGCCAACAACCACCGACAGCATCAACGGAAAAACTAAACTCCCTTTCCACCCCCCTCCCCCCCAGAGGGCCTACCTAAAAATAGGGTAATAACATGGCAACTGATATATTACCCAGACTACGAGTAGATCGTAAGTACTCGTGTTGTTGTTGAACATTCTGGTCTCTTCAAACCAGGCCACACCGAAATCTAGAACTCCCATGCAGCCCTCCGCCTATGTGCTACGGCCAATCTAGAACTCCCATGCAGCCCAGGTAGGCACTCCACCCAACTGCTCTACCTACTCTACCCTACATACCCAGCCAGCCACTCCAAGGTCAATCTCAGACAGCATGCGCTGCGGGTAGATGTACCGTACCTACCGTAGGTACATTGCCGCCCGCCAGCCCACTGCCCTACCGTAGAGTACTCACTCGCGAGAAGAAAAAGATGAAGAATTTCTGCAAAATGCATATGCGCACCCCCCCCCCCCCAAATAGAAAATGTAAAACCCAGGTACTCAATGCTCGGGGCAGTAGAAAGTAGAACCGGGAAATGCAGGTTTGTGGTTCGCCAATGTCTGCGCGCGCTAGTAGTTGCGTTTTTCTGTAGGTACTTTTTGCCTGCCCCGGGTATCTACATGATGTATGTAGAGTACCAGAAAAGCTTTGCGTCTTTCTTTCCCCGCGGTCCGCTCATAAAGCAGGAGAGTGCCAATGGATCTGTGTTCTTACCAACATAGAATACTGTAGGTAGATACCGACCACCGCCCAAGTTGGGGCCAATCACGTGCCACAAATCATTGGGACAGGCCTACATATCTAACAAAACACATGGTCATCCGGATTGTAATAATCATGACTGAGCCCGAGCCTTTTGGATGGGGCGGGTTATACACTCAGGCACTCGGATACTCGAATTCGTTCTTTTTCCTAACATGCGTGCATACTTGGCATACTTGTACCTACATACATGTAATGCCCTTACCCAAGGGTGTTCGTAAAGTGTGCAATTGCAATTTTGTAGGCAATTTGATATCAAGCTAGTTCATGATCATGGTTAGTTAGGTCGCCTTGGATTAGTTGTTCGCGGTCTCCCGCCATTGTCTTATGGGATGTACGTATATATACTCATGCGTTAATTAAGTTCTGAGAATTCCTGGTATTTAGCAACGACCCCACAGGATTTCTCAGGACTTAACGCGCGAGTACGTGATAGAAAAAAAAAAACCTAGCCGGCGGCCGTCAAGAAACAGGGTGCTGGAAATATCATATAACTATATGTGTAGGTAAATTCTGCCCAATTAACGGGGTACGTGCATATATTCTCCACTATGATATACTCAACTACGTCTTCTATAAATTCGTAAATTCCTTCAGAGAGGTTAATTAGAAAGATTTATCTTGTATCTACTTGTACTTGTACTTGATTGGCTATGTGGCTATGTGGCGCTGGGGGGTTGAGCGGTAATTGACGCGGAAAACGTTTGGGTAGGCGCTTTACATACGTTTATGTATTGTAGATCTACATGTATATGTAGGCAAAATCAAACAGATACACTCAGGCACTACACTACTCTACTGCGGTAGAACAAACACTAGACAATAACTAAATTTAAGAGCAATCAGAGGCTGTCACTCAGGCACTCGGGCACAGGCAGATATTGAAAAGCTTCATTCAATTCTTCCTTAATCCCCCCATCTGCTTTTTTTTCTCTTCGGGTTTCTTAAAATTCTTCTAACGCCTAACACACTATGTACATACAGCTAGCTAGCCAGTCGGTACAGCCGGTACAGTTCGCAAGCAGACCGCAACGAAAACGAGAACTACACCTAGGCTAGGTGGTGGTAATAGGTAAGTAATAATAAGTATAGTAGTAATAGTAGCTAGTATAGCAGTAGTATAGGTAGCGGTATAGAGTAGAGGTATGATAGGAGTACTACAGTAGTGAAGTGTAACAATGCCGGTGTAGTGGAAAAGAGTAAACTCAAGGAAAGGAAAAAAGAAAAAAAAAGATATCAAGAAAAAAGAGATGAGAAGAAAAAACGTGGAAAAGAAAAGGGAATAATAATAATGCTAACAATGCTACATCCACGTACCCACCCAGTTGCAAACCTCCCCCCGGGCCCCGAAGATGAATGTCTAACCTCGGCCATGCAATGGAGCTCTTTAGCCTCCGCAAATTACTGTATGTGTAGTGTAGTGTAGGTGTAGTCCTACAAATCGACCATGGCCATATGCCATGCTTAAACAGCAAAAAAAAAAAAAAAAGGATAGTATAGCTGGGTGACAAAAGTAACCGTGATTTTACATTGCAACCAGATTTTGTATGGGAATGCGTCTTGAAACAAGTATAACTCCACAACCATAATAGATATGAAATAAAGGATTGTTTAATTAGAAATCCTTAGATTGATAGAACCTATCCCTTGGGTATAAATCTCGAGAACTGATTTTGGGAGTTGGTCGATTTGGGTAATTTTTGCTGGTTGCTATGTAAAATCATGGTTACTTTTGTCACTCGGCAATAATACTAAAAAAAAAAAGAGCCACATCAAATCATCACCATCATGCGTAACGCATCAAAAGAAAACCACCCTAATTCCTAACTACCTACTCCCCTCCCCTATTCCTTCCCCCCCTTCCCCGCCCCCGCCGCACCAGTACTCTTCCTCTTCAACCCTCCCTTCCGCCCCCGTATATACGCCTTCGCCTCCCGCACCAGCCCCGCATCCTCGGTGCTCGTCCGCAGCGCACGCAGCATCTCGGTCAGGTTCGCCTCACTCGCCAAGTGTGCGCAAAGTCCGGGCTGCTTACCGAAATGCGCCAGCCCGCACAGAGGACAGTACTCGACCCCCATCTTGCGCAAGGCGCACTCCCCGCGAGGGTGCTGCTTTGTGCATGCTTTGCACCGCGGCTCGCCGGGTGTGTCGGCCTGCGGGAGGAGATCAACGCGCCGGAATTGGCCGCTGCTGGGGAGGGGGCGCGGGCGCGGGCGGTAGGCGGCGGCGGAGGCGGGTTGGGAGTGTTTGGCGGGCTGCCGCTGCTGTGGTTGGTAGTGGTGGTGCGAAGCCGCCGGCGGTGGTGGTGACGGAACCCACATCACCGCCGCCGGCGCCATCTCCGGCAGCCTCGGCGCCGCAGGTATAGGCATAGGCATAGGCATAGGCATAGGCATAGGCATAGGCGTCGGCGTATGCTTCGGCGGCCTCCCCCTCCCCGCCCCCGCCCCCGCCTGCCTCTCATGGTACCTCGCAATCCGCTCTTCCAACTCCAGCCCGTCCAGCCCATCCCCCATATCCACGTCCATCTCCTCATCGCTCTCCTCACTCGCCTCATCCACAGCCCGGAACTCCCCGTCGTCCTCTGTCCCCGACGCTGCCCCCGCAGCCTTGCTTGGCCCGTGGTTATACTCGTCGTCCGGCGCGCTGTAATCCACCTTCCGCCGCCGCTTCCCACGACCGAGCTCCTCTGCTGCGGCCGCCGCCGCGGCCCGCGCTGCCTCCTCGCGCTCCGCGAGGAGCTTGTCCCAGAAACCCACGTCGGGATCTTCTTCGGCGCCGCTGTTCTCGCCCAGTCCGCCCTCTTCGAGAGCACCCTTGTCGCTCGCCCACACCCGCGCAAAGCTGAACGCGTTCCCCTCGGCCCCGGCGGTATCGTCCGTCTGTGTCTCTTCGACCGCGCTGCGGTCCAGCAGCCGCTCGACCCCCTCGTCGTCGTAGCGGATTCGACGCTCTTCCTGCAGCCCTTCGTCGTCGAAGAGCGCGCGGGCGCCGAATTTGAGGACGCTTTCGACGTCCACTTGGTCTTCGTCGTCGCTGCTGGTGCCCATGCGCTCGATGATCAGGTGGTCGAGGGACAGCTTCTTCTTGCCGATTTGCATGATCTTTTCTTCGGCCGTGTCGCGGGTGACGAGGTGGAAGACGAGGACTTTGTTTTTTTGACCGATCCGGTGGGCCCGTGATAGGGCTTGGATGTCTTGGTGCGGGTTGAAGTCGGGGTCGAGGATGATGACGGTGTCTGCGGTGGCGAGGTTGATGCCGACGCCGCCGGCACGCGTGGACAGGAGGAAGGCGAAGTCTTTGGAACCGGGGCGGTTGAAGGCGTCGATTCGGCGCTGCTTCTCTTGTGTGTTGGTGCCGCCGTCGAGGCGCTGGTAGGACATGCCTAGCCCCGTGAGGAAGTCCTCCATGACGTCCAGCATGCCGAGGAATTGGGAAAACATCAGAACGCGGTGCCCGCGTGCTTGAAGCTTCGGGAGCATGATGTTGAGCAGCTCCAGCTTGCTGCCGGCCTCGATCAAGTTGCGGTGCAGCGTCTCAGAGTCGAAAGAGCGGTCTTCGATCGCGTCGCTGTAGAAGAAGGGGTGGCCCAGGACCTTGCGCAGCTGCATGAGGACGTTCTTGAGATTGCCGGTTTTGCTCTTGTCACCCGGGTTGCGGAAGATGCTCTTGATGAGGACGGGGTCTTGCGCGAGGATGCTCTTGTACAGCTTTCGCTGCAGGCTGGACATGGTCACGGGCACGATCACCTCCGCCATCGGGGGCAGGAACGAGAGCACCTCGCGCTTCGTCCGCCGCAGGAAGAAAGGCCGGATGAGTTCGTGCAGGCGCCGCACCTTCTCGCTGTCGAGATCGCCGTACTCGTCTTCGAGCGACTGCGCGTCGAGTGTCGGGTCGAGGAACTGAAGGAGGTTGAATAGCTCCCGTGGGTTGTTCTGGAGTGGCGTACCCGTCATGAGGACTTTGTGCCGGATCTTGTAGCCCTCGAGGGCCTTGTAGAGCAGGCTGTCGTCGTTCTTGAGACGCTGCCCTTCGTCGACGATGAGCGCCTCCCAGGGGATGCCCTTGAGGTATTGGCTGTCTGAGACGGGTGTGCTGTACGAGGTGACGACGATGTGGCATTTGAGGCTCTTGGTCCCTGAGTGGAAGAGCTCGTATTTGCGGGCCAGCGAGCGCGACTCGGCGGCGCCGTAGTAGGCGACGACGCGCATGGTGGGCGCCCAGTTCTGGATCTCGCGCTTCCAGTTGGGGACGGTCGAGTGCGGGACGACGATGAGGAAGGGGTAGAGGGAGAGGTCGTTTACCATGATGGAGAGGAAGGAGATGATCTGGATCGTCTTGCCGAGACCCATCTCGTCGGCGAGGATGGAGGTTTGGCCTTGGTGCCACTTGTAGTAGAGCCAGCTGTAGCAGTTTTGTTAGCAATTGAGAATTCTGGTAGAAACGATCATTGACACCGGAATGTGAAAAACTTACTTCATGCCGTCCATTTGGTACTTCATCAGTTTCCCGCCCACGATATAACTCGGCTGCTCCTTCTTCTCAAACGTCTTGAAGTTCTTCCCGCGGACCATCTCCCTCCTCTTCGTGGTGTTCTTGGGCAAGTGGACATAGTGCCCCGCCACAAAGTCCTCATACGCCTTCCTCCAGTCCTCCCAGCGCCCCACCTCAGTACTCTCCGCCTCCTCCTCCTCCTCCTCCTCCTCCTCCTCCTTCTCTCCGTCCTCCTCATTCTTCTCCCCGTCCGCATCCTCACCAGCATCAAGATCAAAAATCCTCTTCGCCCGCCGCCTCCGCAGCCCTTTCGGCTCCGCCGGCGGCACCTCCCACTCCGCCTCCCCGCCCTCGCCGCCCTGCCACTTCACAAACGCCTCACACACCTCGCCGATCCGCGCAACATCCACGTCGCGCTCGCGCCCCGTCGGGACAAACGACGTGTACCGCACGTCATACACAGTCTCGATGCGGAACATGCTCTCGGGCACGGCCTGCTCCGTCGTCCATGCCAGCAAGGGATTCTTCTTGACGAAGTGCCCCCGCATGTGGATGTTTACGCCCCACACCCACGCACCCGGCAGCCACTCGGCCCGGAAGTACGATGTGCCGTGGAACTTGATTAGGTACTCGCGGCTGTCCTCGTCGTAGTCGGTGATGTCCAGGTGCGTGGGGGCGGGGTCGGTCGGTGCCCCCCCCGTTGGCCGCCAGGCGCGGATCGTCTGGATCTTGAGGGTGTGTGTTGCGCACTCGCCGCAGCGGAATGCGCGCGTGTCGGCCTCGTCGTCGTCGAGGTGCGAGGTGTGCCATGCGCGCTTGCAGTGGAGGCAGCGGAACAGCACGAGCGACGGGTTGTACAGCAGGTCCGGGTCGACATCGGCGTCTGGAGTCGTCTCGGCGGAGTCCTTCTTCTTCAAGCTGGATGTGCTGAACGGCGTGCAGGCTTCGCCCTGCGCGTGGCAGACCTGGCATGCTGCGGTGTCGGGTGCTGTTGGGTCTTTCTTGCGCGCGAGGTTGGTGCACCGCTTGCACTGCATCACAAAGTCGTCGTCGGCCGTCTTGGTGACGAGGTGCAGGCGTGTGGTGCGGTTGCCCATGCACTCGATGTGGAACGAGGACGAGCAGCCCTGGCAGTAGACGAGGTTTCCGCGGGCGCGGGAGGGCCCGCTGGTCCCGCAGGTCTCGCACAGCTGCGTGTGTTTGCGCCCGAAGCTGGTCTTGGGCTCGATGAACGGGAAGATCTCCTTGCTGTGGACGACGCGGGTGCGGGTGGGCTGCGGGGTGGCATCGGCCTCGAGGTAGAAGTCGTCGTTGATGTCTGGCTCGGTGTACATTCCGCGCCGCTTGACGCGGGAGCTCTTGCGTGTTGCGGACTCGGACTCGTCGTCTTCGTAGTCGGAGCCATCCACCTGCCGTCGCTTCCCGCGGGCACTTCCGCGGGGTTGCTGCGATGCACGACGCTTGCGGCTTTGGCGTGGCGGTGGCTGCAGGTCGGAGACGACGAGGTCGTCCTCGGAGTCGTAGGACGGGCCGGAATGGGATTGGCCCTTGTATGGAAGCATTGCAGCTTGCTTGAGGGGTTTGGAGCGGGTTCGGCGGGTTGCAGGACCAGCTTTAACGGGTGAGGCGAGCTCGTCCTCGGAGATCTCGAGGGTGGGGCTGCGTTCGGCGGCGGCTTTGCGGGTGAGTGCCAGTGAGGCGATGCGGCGGCGGCGGAGCTCGCGTTCGGGGGGGTCTTGCGGGCGGGAGGCTCCGCGGCGGGACCGGCGGGAGGTGGAGTCTGTCTCTTGTTGCTCCCTCTCGTCTTCTTCCTGCTCTGGCTTGTCCTCGTCATCGTCCTCCTCGGCATCCCGATACGAAGATGCCTGAGCTCTGCCACTGCGGGAATGGCTCGACGTCGGCGGTGGAGGTCTCGGCACGGGCTCGTCGCCCAGCTCCTCCAGCGCCTCGGGGCCGCCTTCAAGCTCAATCAGCTCTGTAAACGACACCTACACCCGTCAGCACAGTCCACAATCCACAATCCCAATCCCAATCCACAATGCAGCTACTCACCATCTCTGTAATTCGATCGACAAACAGCGTCTTGTACCACAGCCCGCCGTCTCTCGTGACCTCTCGTAGGATCCTTAGGACCCTGCGGTCGCGCACCGGCGGGGGGGACTCTTGCTTGATGGGGGAGGAGGAGGGGGAGGGGGAGGGGGAGCGGGGGACGACGGCGTAGTCGCTGCGGCGCTGGCCGAGCTCGGGGAGCGTGGGCAGGCGGATGTAGTGGATCATTTGGTAGGTTTCGGCGGCGGCGTCGGCGTCGTCCATGGAGTCGTCTGTGTCGAACATTGTGTGAGTGGGGTGGGGTTATGTATGGCAAGGGCCAAGCTGTGGGGGTGGGTGTGTGTCTGTTTGCTTCAATTGCAATTGGCTTGTGTTTTGTGGGGGGAGGTGTGTATGAGGGGAGAGAGTGTGGGGAGAGAGGGGGAGGGGAGAGAGTGTGGGGAGAGAGGGGGAGGGGGGAGAGTGTGGGGAGAGGGGGGGAGGGGAGAGAGAACGCGTGAGATGGAGCAGCAGTGGGGGAGTAATTACTCTGTGTAGTTTATCGTATCGTGCCTTGGATGTATGCAGCAGGGGCTGTCTATCTGTGTCTGTATCTGTCTGTGTCTGTGTCTGTGTCTGTGTCTGTGTCTGTGTCTGTGTCTGTATCTGTGTCTGTATCTGTGTCTGTGTCTGTGTGTCTGTTTGCTATCGTCTATCTGTGTCTCCCCCCTCAATGGCTCCAGCTGGGACTGCTCGATGGACAGAGACGAGACGAGGTATGACTGCTGGTGATGATTGATGGAGATGGAGATGGGATGAAGATGGAGATGGGGTGAAGATGGAGTGCAGTTGAGAGAGAAGAGAGGAGAGGAGAGGAGAGGAGAGAGGAGAAGAGAGGAGAGCAGAGGAGAGTTGCCGCACTCGCTCACTTCACTCTCTCTTTCTCTCTTTTCTCTCTCGTGCGCGCGGAAACTCAAAACTTTCACTTTCTGAGACGACGCGTTCCTCGTTTGTGCAACACCGGAACTTGCCGTGGCATCTAAAAATTTTAACCTGCACTGCAATCATTTCCTCTCCTCTCGATATCTGCAGAACTCTCTCATTTCTCTCTCCCCCAAAAAAAAACACCGCGATATCTACACACTCAATTCTACTACATAATCCCCTCGCCGGCATAGAGATCGAAGGCAATTAACGATATATACAGCCAGCCAGCACAATGAGCACCCGCCACCTGCTCTTCCCCCCCGTCTCCCCCTCCTCCGCCGCCCCCTCTCCACAAAACCCAACAGCGCCATCGCTCGCGCCCTCCGCCGCTCAGAAGAGCGCCGCCCCCCCGCCACAGGCCTGAAAATAACACGCACACAGCTCCGCTCGCCGCCGCCCCCCGTCCCCACGAACGGCATATGGACACCCCCCGGCGCCCCGCCTAGGCCAAAAGACGACTTCCCGCCGCTGCCGCCCCCGCGCGGCGTGCATTCGCGCGTGTGGACGCCGCTGGGTGGTAGGGTGGAGGAGGAGCTGGGTGCGTATGATGGCGCTGCTGCGGCCGGGGTGGGCGGGAGGGATGTGCCGGAGCCAAGGAGGAGGGAGGAGGGAGGGAGGGGGAGGGGGAGGGGGGTTGAGGATCGTATGCAGCGGGGAAGGGGTGGGCGGGAGGAGGCGCCGGTGCGACCGCCGCGATCGTGGGGCGGGGAGCGGGAGCGGGAGCCGGAGATGGAGTCGGAGGAGTCCTATAGCTACTCAGCGTACAGGCCGTTCGCGACGACAGTGCGCACGTCGCCGCGATTGGATTCGCCGCCGATGGATAGGGAGTGGGCGCCGAAGCCGCGCAGGTTCATCCCGAAGATGGATTATGACGCGGAGTGGATCTATGGCGCGAGTGTGGTGGAGGCGGCGCTGAAGGCCGGCAGGAGGAAGTGTCTCAGGTTGTATATTTTTGCGGGGAGGAATAGGGCGGAGGAGGGCCGGGAGAGGGATGCGGAGATGGCGGGGATGGCGAAGCAGGCGGGCGCGGAGGTCGTGTGGGAGGAGGATGTGGGCGTGTTGGATAGTATGAGTGATAGTAGGCCGCATAATGTGGGTTTTTTCTTCTCTTTGTCTTTGGCTTGAGTCTTGAATCTTGAATCTTGAAGGGTGGAGTGTTGGGCATTGATCATTGGCTCTGTATATGTTTTCATATCTACTGACACACTCAATTCTCCCCCGCAGGGCTACGTCCTCGAAACCCACCCACTCCCAAAAACACCCATCCTCGCCCTCGGCCCCGTCTCTCCTACGAAGAGCAGCCTCACACTCACCCTCGCCCAGCACTCCCCAACCAACACCCCCATCGAATCATCAACATACCCAACCAAGCTCTACTCCCGCTCCCCAAAGCCCCGCTACCCCCTCGTCCTCCTCCTCGACGAGATCCTCGACCCAGGCAACCTCGGCGCAATCCTAAGAAGCGCATACTTCCTCGGCGTCACCGCCGTCTCAGTATCGGCTCGGAATTGCGCGTCGCTGTCCCCGGTCGCGTTGAAGGCGTCGGCGGGGGCGGCGGAGTTCTTGCCGATTCTGGAACATGCGAGGACCGAGAGGGTTGTGCAGGCGAGTGTGGAGAATGGGTGGAGCTTTTTTGCGGCTGTGCCGCCGGTCACGAAGCAGCAGGGGAGGAGGGACAGGTATTTTGTGGCCAGTGAGGTGGGGGAGAAGTTGTTGGAGGGGCCGGTGTGTTTGGTGGTCGGGAGCGAGGGGGAGGGGTTGAGGCAGGTGGTGAAGAGGGAGTGTGAGTTTTGTGTGGGGTTGGAGAGGGCGGTGGGCACGGAGAGGGTGGTGGATTCGTTGAATGTGAGTGTGGCGAGTGCGTTGTTGTGTAATGCGTTCTTGAAGGGGTAGAGAGCGGTGGGAGGGGATTGTGTACATGTATATATGGGGAGTAGAGGGTGCTTTGTATATAGTGAATATCGTCTGGCTCATGGATTCTCACTCGCTGGGTTTCTGAATTTGGGGTGGGGATTGGATTTTGGCGGTCGATGGAAAAATGGATTAGAGTTCTTGTTATGCGATTCACCACGGTCTTGTAAGTGAGTCTCTGGTGCTTGGGATAACAGTGTTGTCCAACAGACGTGGTAGAGGAGCTATCAAGATCTCCGACATGCTGAGTTTGGCTTAGCTATAATATGGTGTTCCCAATCGCACGAGTGGTGTAGTTTGGCCAATGATACATTCGATAAGATCTAAAAAGATAACAGGACCAAATTATACACCGCTTTAGTCCTTATAATGGAGGGCGCGCTGGCTAGCTAGTGCTCTGATGGAAAGGGCTGGATTAATTGATTAGGAGTGTTTCGGTGCGTAAATCAGTGTTCCGTTCCTTCCAGGTCGGAAATGACGGTTTGGACATTGATCTTTAGACTGTACATGGTGGCAGTTGAGGTTTCGATTACTATCTGAGGGCTTACATAGGTTCTATTGCTCTGGATACTCGGGTGAATTAAGGGAGTATGCGTGCAGTGGGAATGTCATGATGTTTGGATCAAGTCAATCATACTACAGCTTAACTTTGTAGCATCTCAAAACTAACACATATACTTAACTCGCCGGCTGCAGCCACGCGCGCGCATGTTCTGCCCACCTAGTGCCTCCAAGATAACCCGTCTAAGGAGTCCCACTGGATATCTGCACTCAACTAGAGTAGATGTTATGCGTTGAGAAGAACAAGGCGTAGTTAGTACAGAAATTACGAGGGTGTGTTCTTTGAGGCAATAGCCTCCTGGGGAGAGGCGCATCTCATCTTGACTGGGAAGAATCGACTATTTCCTCGTCATATCTCACCACGTTGAGGAACTGCATGTAGTAGCTCACCTGTACGGAAGCCAAGTTAAACCAACACCCAACACATCACGGTTAATTTAGTCACAACCGACTGATTTATTCATTATAATAACTGTCAGAAAAAGGAGGGGGACTGCACTGCCTTACTCCTTGTATTTGATTCTTCTTAATTTCATATATATAAAGAACAAAAGGTTGCATTGATGGCAGCCCCCATGGCTACAACCCCCACCCCTGGATTGATGAACCATGGACCTTCGACAGATACAACTTGGCACAACCACGCGGTGTATCCGGAAGGCGAGTTAACCGGTTGGCCACTCGCCCGTGTGGGTTCTGGGCCGGAAATTAGATTTGGAGTGGACGCCAAGGATGTTGCAGATAAGGGTAGCAAGCTACTAAGCCTTACGGTTTGAATCTTAAGAACTACATATATTCAGGTTTCTGTAAAGCTATTTGCGCGCCCTTGTAGGGAGATCGAACTGTAGGGTAGGATACGGCGGCTGGTGGTGCTGAGATTTCTCGACGTATATATATATGGATATCATGTCTACCTACCGCTTAGAAAAACACGCAACAGCTAGGTGCTGTTATCGCCATCATCCGCGATTTTATTCCCTCCCTTACTAACCTCGCCACTGGTCGATTGTGATAGATAAGGGGTGCTAGATGAACATCCATGCACATATACATGTAGCTATGTCATCTGTCTTTACTTAGTAGCTAGGGCCATGATGGGGAAGAATCGGGACACTTACACTAACAACCAATAATGACCCGAGTGAGAACCCATGAGTATGCCCATCGTAAACCATAGATTACTTTCATCAAGGCCAATTTCTTCCGCGAGACGGTGTACAAGTATGTGCTTACTCCAAGCACGAAAGATGACCGCCGCTCATGGGGTTGTGCAGTGCGAGTGATGGGCTGTGAACTTGGCTGGGGCATGTGGCCGCCTGCGTAAAGGAAAACCATGAGTGATCCAACTCTAACTACTGTGGGAGCAAGCTCTAGAACACTGGATTGAAAGGCTGTAATGACTATCAAGCAAACACACTGATATCAAACAGAGAAATCATGATTATTCTATCGAGTTTATTCCGATAATCATTGGATATAGCAAAACAATTGCCTTCCATAAAAACACAGCAAGTTTAAAAAGAAAAGGAAACATGTAAAACAAACACCACCATCTCCCAACCCAACCCAACCCTCGGGCAAACAAACACCCATTGACAGAAACGAAAAAGAAAAAAAGGCTCAGGAACATGTCTAATATATGAAGAATCTAACTGTCTACGAACTCTTCCCCGCATCCTCCTTCAGCGTCACAATACGGTTCACCACCAACGCCCCCTCCTTCGAGTCGCTATCGAGCGCAAAGTACCCTACCCGCAGCGCCTGGAACCGCACCGTCTCAGGCCCATGATGCTTCTGGTTCTTCTCACCCTCGAGCTCGGGCCACGGCGCGCGCCGCTGCACCTCGTGGATGCCGACCTCGATGATGGCCTTCGAGAACACCTGCTCGCTGTCTGGGTTGATGTCGGCCAGGAAGCCCCGGGGTTGGACTCGGGGTTCTCGGACTTGAAGAGCTGGTTTGTGACGCGGGCCTCCAGCGGGACGGGGGAACCCTTTGACGGGCAGTCGGCAACCCACTGGATGTATGTCTTGGGCTTCTTGAACGGGATGTCGTTCTCGTAGTGGCAGATGATCTCGATGATCTCGCCGGAGGCGTTCTTGGAGAAGGCCGTGGCGCGGATGGTGTGCGGGACTTTGAGAAGGCCGACGCTCTTACCGGGCGCGAGGCGGAAGTAGTCGCTGCTGTCGGTCTCGCGGAAGTCGCTGCGGTCGATGTAGAGGATGCGGGTGAAGGGGACGGGGTGGCTGCCGAATGAGTCGTCGCTGGGTTTGAAGGGGAGGTCGATCTCTTCGAGGTGGTCGTGGGGGAGGTTTTCGAGCACCACGCGGACGGGGTCGGTGATCATCATGAGCCGGGGGACGGTGTCTTCGAGATAGCGGCGGACGGTCTGCTCGAATCGTTTGATCTGCACGAAGGAGTGTGCGGTGGTCACGCCGAGCTCGTTGACGAAGGAGAGAATTGCGCCGGGGGGCACGCCGCGGCGTCGGATGGCGACGAGGGTGTACAGACGTGGGTCGTCCCAGCCGCGGACGTAGCCTTCGTTGACGAGGCGTGCAATCTTGCGCTTGCTCATAATAGTACCGGTAAGGTTGAGGCGGCCGTATTCGCGCTGCTGGGGACGGTAGATCTCGAGCACGTTGCAGAGCCAGTCGTAGGACTCGCGCGAGTTGATGAACTCGGTGGTGCAGAGGGAGTGGGAGATGTTCTCGAAGCTATCGCACAGGCAGTGGGTGAAGTCGTAGGTGGGGTAGATCTTCCATTTGTCGCCGGTGCGGTGGTGCTCGGCGTCCAGCACGCGGTAGGCGGTCAGATCCCACATCTGCGGGTTGCCGGAGCCGAGGATATCCTGCTTCATTCGGAGCTGGGCTTCCTGCGGTTTGAACTTGCCGTCGCGCATCTGGCGGAAGAGATCTAAGCTTTCTTCGATGGGCCGGTTGCGGTGGATGCACTCGGAGCGGGGGCCGCGGTCTTTGCCACCGCGCTGGGCGTTGACTTCTTCGCCGGAGCAGTGGCAGATGTAGCCGTAACCGCGCTTGATCAGGTCTTCGGCGAGCTCGTAGAGCTTGTCAAAGTTGTCAGAGGCGTAGGTGATCTGGTAGGGCTTGAAGCCGAGCCATTCGACGATTTCGAGGATGGCGGTGAAGTACTTTTCTTCCTCGGCGGTGGGGTTGGTGTCGTCGTAGCGGAGGTAGCATTCGCCGCCGTGGTAGCGCGCGAAACCAAAGTTTACGGCAATGGCTTTGGAGTGTCCAATGTGTAGATAACCGTTGGGCTAGAAGAATTGAGTGAGTGATAATCTTGGGGGGACTTTGGATGGGAGACAAACCTCTGGGGGGAAACGTGTAAAGACTTTTCCTCCTGTAGCTTTCAGGTGGGCTTCCATGTTTGCGGGGATAATCTGCTCGTTTCCGCCGGGCTTGTGGAGAGCTGCAAGGAAACCTTCCTCAAACATCCTGTCCTTGCTGATCTCCTCATCTTTCTTGACCTCTACTTTCTTTCCCTTTGCCTCTGGAGCAGCTTTGGGCTGCTTCTTTGGTGGCGCATCTCGCTCGTCCTTGGGCCCCAGGAGATTCACGAGCTGGACGTCCATTTCCTTCTTGACCTCTGCCGGGGGTGCCCATTTCAGCGCTGTCTGGGTCTTCAAATTGACCAGCACCGGTGTCATGGCCTTATATCGCTGTTCCAGTATCATTTCCTTGTTCGCCTCCATGTACTCTGCCACAGCAGCAGCAATTCCCTCTGGCGTAAACTCAATCCCTACCAGCGCACCCACGGTCAGTTGTGTCTTACCTCTACTTTACTTCATAGCAGCAGCAGCTCCTTACCAACACCACACTCCTTGTCGAACGCCGCATCATCTATATCTCCTTTGCAGGCTTTGATGTACTTGACAGCCGCATCCACCTGCACGTTGCTCTTGATCTTGCCGTCCTTGATCGCTTTCGCTACGTAGGCCCGCTTCCCACCCAGTGAGCCCGCGTCCTTTGTGGCGGTAACTAGCGCTGCGAAGGCGCTGGCGGCTTTGGGATCCACGCCAGTGGTAGTGGCCTCGATCCCAGCTTCGGTGAGAATCTCATCCCATGCTGTGGAGACCTTCTTGTTCTTGAGCGCTTCCTGGAGGGGCTTTTCGCCCAGGCCGAGGGCAGCAAAGCGCGGTGCGAGAAGGGAAGGGTCGCTCATGGTGATATGGGAAGTGTTGTGAGGATGTGTGGCGTTGGGGGGGGGGGCGGGTTCGAGAGATATATGATGGTGGGGGGGGGGGGGGGGGTTGGTGGGTTGACTCATGGACCCCGCGGTGGAGGCTGTTCCGGGTAACTAGCCGGCCCTGCATAGGGGGAATGCTGATAGAGAATGGGTGTCTTATCTTATTATCCAGCTTCCGTGATTTGATAGCGGTGAGAGCATCGGAACTAGATAGGGGCCAACGGAGGCTCGGGATATATTAAAGCTGATGAAAGGCTTGTGTAGTAAGAGAGAGTGCTAATTGTCTACTTCTTCATGGATTATCACTCGCTCACTGGCTGTCACTCGCTCGGGGCGTGGTCTGGAAATGGGCCAAGGGTGTCTCCCCCATGCGTGACGAGCTTAATTGGCTTGTGTTTTATGCTAAAGAGCCGCAAGAAAGGCGAGTGTGCGTGTTTCTTGGTGGCGGGCAAATTCGAAGGCCTTCATTTAAGTACAATTACAGCTGCATCCATGTAGTTTCGGACAATGAGCACTTGCAATGCGGCGGCATACGTAGGTCGGCCAATCTGGCTGTCTAGCTTGAGTGGAAAGGATTGTAGCATATGGCATATGCGGAGGGCCCGTGTGCCAGCTTGTATTCCACATGTAGGTACATGTGAGTACATGCAGTTTTCGCCGCTCGTTGAAACTTGGCTCGGGGAAGTCTCAGGCAAGATATGTGTATACGGTGGCCTTGAGTACGTACAAGTAGCATAATGCGAAAGGGCGGCAAAAAAGATTGGAACCGTGTACACAGCCAAGGAAATTAGGTGACCTGGTCCTTCGGGGCTGTAAGCCTGTCGATGCCTTAAACCCAGGTGGCCCTGAATCTGGGAGGGCGAAATCTGTTCGGTCCAAAATCTATATAAACCGCCCTTTCCTCCCCTCATCTTCTTCTTTCCTCAGTCACTGCAACGGATACAAGGCACCTTCCTAGAACTAGCATCATTTCTCTGCTTTTTCGCTGATCAGGTTGTCGATGTCTTTTGGAACTTGCAGTTTGATGAATCAACCATATCGCCTACTGTTTTTTTCTTCTTCTTACCATTTTATTTTCATTTCATGTCACCCCCATATCCCCTCTACTCCGCATTACCCATCATCAACTTCCTTCTGAATACTGGCTAACACGACCTTGCTACTAGACATCGGTTTATCCTCTGGCAGGAGCAAAACGTTCAAGATAAGATGGATGCCTGTCCTCTCGGTGTTATCGACAGCCAATCCTGCCGTTCCCAAGAACGTTTTCTCGCCCAATCACTCCCGCCAGTAGTCAGCCACGACCTGCCTCCTGCTCTATCTATAGAGCAACTCAACCCCACAACAGCGATATAGTTTCTTGATCTTTAGAGAGGACTTGAAACTTGTACATTTCATCTCTTTTATTGTATATTGCATAGTACCACAGAAGTCTTGGACGCGAATGTGCGCAGTCTGTCGCGATTTATGGTTAGTAATTTCTACCCTTGGAAGAATACTCTAGGATTGGTTACTAACATCTGCTATTACGGGAACATAGGGCCGCCATGCTGGCACAAAGCCGAATGTTTGACTCTCACAAACATTTGAATATCCCGTTGTCTCTCACGCAACTGGTTGATTTCCAATGCCGTGCCGCCCTAAATTTTGTCGACATCGGTGGGGATACGCACAAGAAGATTCCCATGCCGACCTAGTGCCAACTTATCCTTGTGTCAACAGCACAAGAGCACCGTGACGGACTACAATCATATCTCCCAAGCACAAAATACAAAAGCAAAAAAAAAGAAAAGGATCACAGGTAGCCCCATTACGCAAGATGGATGTGTAATGACGACAAGACCGAGACGACGGAAAATTTCAAAAATCAAAAAAAAAATATTATATACCAGATCTCATATATAAGGGATGCTGAGGAAAAGTTTTTCTAGGACCAGCGGTTTGCTGGGTATTGCTGTTCCCTTTACCGGAACATTATTCATTCAAAAAAAAAAAAAAGCATAAAACAAAAACAACAAAAAAAAGAAAAATATTATATCAGGTCCCATAAAAAGGGTTCTGACGATTTTTTGATCTTTGACCAGCGCGCATTGGCTGGGTATATGCATCGCACCCGGAGTTCTTGATACACGCGCACGGAGACATTGTTCAGCAGTTATTACAAATACGCATTGCACTCACCCACACAGAAAAACAAAAATTCAAAAATAAATCCAAAAAAATAGGAAACTAAAAAACAACAAAAAAAGAAAAACGACGGGGAAGACGACGATCAAATTCCATAGGCCCAAATTCCGTAAGTCCTAAATTTACCTTTTTGAAATATACATGTAGCTAATGTAGTAATTGGTGGTCATGACATGCAGATTAGGGGAGGACCAATACACCTGTACGGTATGGGAGGTGCTGGATTCGTCTGACTTTAACTGATGCAGCACTGGTAGGTTTGATAGTTTCTTTATTTTTTTTCGTCTCTTGCACTTTACTGCCCTGTTATATATATATTGTTAGAATAAATAGTAGCGAATTTACTCTGTTTAAAGGCAATTGTTCTCTGAATTCGTGATACCGTTGACTCTCCAAGGCATGATATGTATAGCGCCATGTCGTAAATGATCGTATGGCGTGAGGTCGCAACGCCGCAACGCCTGACTGCAATGCCTGACCACAAATTTTTTCCACAACCACCGATGGCGCCCAGAGACCGTGTACCCCGTGCTCTTACAACTATTAAGTTTGTAAAGGTATACACCACAACCCTTATAACTCAGCGGTTGGAGGAGTGTGGGGTAGATGTTCTGGAGGACTAGCTTGCCTATTCCCCTGACTTAAATCGCATTGAACATGTTTGAGTACATCTCAAGAAGCTTTGCCATCAACACTACCCCATTTGGGATATGATACTAGATTACCTTAAGTATTGAAGCCCCTCGTGGAGGAAGGTCTAATTCATTGCTGGGAACTGTTACCTGATGATTTATTCTCTAGAGATTTGGTAGCTAGTTGAGAGCATGCCTAGGAGAATAGAGCTGTTATAAAGGCAAGGGGTTGGTATACAAGATATTAAATGTCCAATTATCTTTATTTAGCTACTATTGAACAACTATACAAAAAAACAGCTCTCCAAAAGGTCAATTGTAGTTGCTAGGTAAGTAGTCATAATGGGGCAAGAGGTGTCGAAACCCGTTGCTACGCCGCCCCCGTACGATGATTTACGACCCAGAACTATACATACATTAGTGGAGGCAGTGTCGTCTACATTAAGAAAACCTCATAAGCCACACATTATTAAGCATTCTTGTCTAGCAAAAGCATAACTACATGGATTTGTGACTGTCTGAACCCTCTGCCCTCGGGTGTTGCGCCAATGATCGCTGTAACACCATTCCACGCATCATCAGCACCTGACCTCCACGCCTGCTGCCTTTGTCAGGTACTTGACTCCCTTGTACGGCTTGGTAGACTCGTTGATGCCCTTTCCGCCAACAATCTTCAGGCTCTCGACCTTCACCCCGCTCGCCAGCCATCCCTTGACAGAGAACGAGACGAGTGCGCAGCGTGGCATGGCCATCGCCATCCTCTTGTCGCTTCTCTTCTTTGACTCCGTCTTGTCCTTCTTTCTACTACCACCGCCATTAGTGTCCCGGGGCAAGTCCTCTTTATACTCACCCTCATCAGGAGCAACCACAGCTTCATCGTCGCTCTCGTCCTCCTCACCTGTGCTCTTGACCACCACGCCACTCCGCAATGTCACCGTCCCCCCCGTGCTTGAGAAGCCACCATTCATGGGTATCCTCCACGTCAGCTCTCTCCCCTCATGATGGAACTCGCCCCTCGAGCACCTCGTGCCCACCAGCGTCTTCACCGCTGGCGGCAACGGCACCTTAACACTGACCTCCTCCACCGTAGGATTACTACTACTCCCACCAAACGCAGGGCTCCTCCCCCCGAACGGCCACCACCACCCGTGATATTCGCAGTACTCACAAACACCCTCACCTCAAACTCCGCACCCAAGATCCTGATCTCGACCGCCACAGGCAGGATCACATTCGGTAGCAAATCAACCTCATACGAGGCGAGCACAAACTTTCCGTCCGGCGGCACGAACGACAGCTCACCGGGGCGGTCGCGCCACCGCGTGAGGCGCACGCAGGGGTGGAAGACGGGGAACTGCAGGCCGCAGGCGGGGCTGGAGCCGAGGCGCTGGGGGGCGGAGGGGGTCTGGAGGGTCAGGAGGAGGTCGGGGATGCCGGTGAGCTTGCAGGTCATGGCGATGGTGCCGTTGGAGCGCGCGGAGAGGGGGCGGCCGGAGGGCGCGATGGTGGCGGTGATGAGTTCGATGAGGTCGACGTAGAGCTCGTTTGTGGTGTGGCGGACGTTGGAGCGGCGCCAGGGGATTGTGGAGGGTGTTGTGGGGGGGGTGGGGGTGAGGGAGGTGCTATCGGGTGTTAATCTATGTTGGGAAGACGGGGAGAAGAGCGAACAGAGGGGGAGGGGAGAGGAGAGACATACCTAGGCAGCCCCGTAACATTACTCAACAACTTGCCCAACACACTTGGCGGCAGCACCACATCCCTCAGCGCATTCGGCTCCGTCGTAAACGGGATTCCATCATCACACATCTCATTGAGCAGCTGGGCAACCACATCATAGTTGGCCTCAATCTTCCCCTCCAGCAGCGGGCTGCCCAGGAAGTCCTCCAGCACGTCCACCACGCGGTGGAGAAACTCTAATACAAGCAGGGGCTCGATCTCGGACGTGGTGGGGCACAGGAAGAGCAGGTTGTTGTGTTCGATGCTGAACAGCAGCGTGGGCGGCGTGGTGTTGGGGAGGTAGATGAGCGGCGGGCGCGGCGCGGGGTGCGACTGGTAGTGTGTTAGGAGCGTGCTGGCGGGCGTGGAGGGGCGGCGCCAGGTATGGAGGAGGAGGGGGGGCGTGGTGGGGGTGGGGGGGAGGCGGCGGTGGATGTGGAGGGCTTCGATGGCGCTCATTGTGGGCGTGTGGGGGTATGTGGTGGGGTGTAGTTAGAGCTTGAGTAGTGGGTAGAGCTCGAGTGGTATAGTTAAAGCTTGAGTGGCACGACCAAAGTTGTATTGTAGGGCTCAGGCTCAAGTGAGGTTATGAAAATGCTATCTTGCAAGGTTGTGATTAAGAGCTACCCCGAGTGCTGCCCGGCGAGTCTCCGAATGCTCCCCGTGAATGCGTAAATCGGCTCGAGTTCTCCCCCGCGATGGCTGGTGTTGAGCCCCGCGAAGTGACGTTGTCAAGCACCGGGTCACGTGCCGAGTTCGTAGTGGAGTGGCAACAGGCGCCAAACTTGAGCTTTTTCTCAGCAGCTTCAAGACATCTCTGATCCCAGCTAAAAAGTCTGAAACTGAACCGCAGCTACTCTACAGCCATGTCTTCAAGCAGCAGCAGCAGCACCGGCGGGATCCAGATGGAGCTCCCGCCGCTCTCCAACATCCTGGAGGAGGACCGGAAGGAGGACTGTAATTCGTGCAGAGCCATTGGTACCTCTCTCCCTCCCACTCCACTCCCCTTCTTCCCGCAGAACGCCGAAAGTCTCGCTAACGCTCAACACTAGGCTCGGCCGCATTCATCGGGCTCGGCGCCTACACGTTTGTAAGCGGGCGAGCGCAGCTGCGGGAGCGCGAGAAGACGATCAGCCAGGCGGCGACGCGGTGGGGGATTGGGGCGCGGCGGATGGGGATTTATGGCATTGCGGCGTCGATGGTGGGGTTGGGTGTGTATCGGGCTGTTATGTAGTGTATAGATAGTTTGTGGGTGGGGATGGTGGGTGGGTGGGTGGGTGGGGATGAGTGGGAAGGGGGGGGATAGGTGGGGAAAGGGGGGGGGGGGGGGCGTAATGAATGATTGAGGGTTTTCTCCCTTTCCTTTTGTGGTTTTTTGCTTCCTTTCTTTGGGGGGAGGGGATAGAGGGGAGGGTCGTAGAGGTTGTGATGGAGGTAGAATGGATGGGGATGGTATATGAGGACCGAGTGATATCCCATGTGCGGTGGGAACACCACCCACCGAGCACCCCCAACCCACGACCACTCACTGGCACTCGGGGGCTCAGCCGTGGATGGCACCTTTCTATGCTATTCACGGGCCAAGAGCTGAGACACCAAGACGGAGATCTTTGGCACACCATGGCCAGCCATGCCACATGACTCTCTAGATCTCTCACTGTCCCTCTGTGTTGAACAGCAAACATGGGCTGCACCTTATGTATCGTACATGTGCAAGCATGCGGGGATGGGAGTAATACAACTCTTGCTGCAGCATATATCACACGACTTCCCGGTGTGGCCGCGAGATTGGCCGTGCTGCGGTTTTGTGATTGGCTGTACGTGATAGATAATTCGATGAGTACATGTACTCAGCTATCCGCTGCCGGATTGTGCTTCTTTTGTGGGGGGGTGGGGAGGGACACTAGGCTGCGACTTAGCTCCCAGTTAGCCGGCGCATGTTGTAGTTGGGTGTGTTGGGGCTTGCATATAATAGAATAGAGTGTAGAGTCGAGTGATAGCATGTGCAACTAGCTATGTAGCAGTTGGTCTGGTCGGTCATCGCGGTCAACGATGCCATTAAGTGGTAGTGATACTTTGTTCTACACCACACCACATCGGATCGGGCCAATCTCTACATGTACTATCAGTTATCACGGCGCTCTATGTAGCTACCTAGCTACTTAGTCTCACCAAGCTATAAAAAGTGCCTTTTCGATCATTACCAGGTCTCCATATGTACTTATACCAACTTATGCTTAAGAGTCACCGTAACGGTCATTAACAATATCCACTTGCGCGCCTGTGGTGACTCTACAGCGTACCAACTCGTCAAGAAACATCGAGCTTTTTTTTGGCTTGTGCTGGATGGTGCGGAGTGCGGTGAGGAGGATCGAGTGATAGCCCATGCAGTAATCGGTAACGGTGAATTGATGTGTCTACATTGGATAATAGTTAATAATTTGGATGCATGGGCGAGCGCTTCCGGGTATAGTCGGCCAGGGGTTCTTAATGTTAGGGGTTGGTGGGTCGGGGTTGAGGGGTTGAGGGCTAGCTGTAGTAGTGGTAAGGGCTGTGCCTAAGCAATTTATAGGTACTTAAGCCAGGAAGACTTTGCGAGAATTAGCCATTATTAGCACACTGATAGAGTAGCAGTATGCGTACTAAATGATATCTTATTTCACCCAGACCTCACATCAATCTCATATATATCCTAATAACTATTGCATGCAGCTACATAGATAATCATAATTTGGTAGCTTATTAGCAATTGGTGGTGCTGTATCAGAGCTCCATATCTAGTTAGGGGCATAAACCAATGCTACATCGACCGTTACCAAGAATTGGCGCTGATAATAACTATATGTATAATTCGTTGTGGCGGCGCGGGCAGGTTGATTTACTCGGGTGCAAGTAATGCGAGGATATATACCCAGTGGGTCAATCAATTGAAGGATAGATCACATGCATAGCGAGTACTGTGTCCTCAGTTAGTAGCTGCATGTAGTGTTTTTTTTCCCGGCTGTTTCTCTCTATGTCTTGCTTTCTCTGTCATTACTCTGTCATCATCATCAGTATCCTATCTATCATTCGAGCTTGTTTACTTCCATGAACTAAACCTAAGCTTTTCTCCAAAAACCTACTGAACTCCTAATTCGCTGCTAAAAGTCAGACATTGGGGGTTGATCGTCCGTGATGTGAGTACTAATTCATGACACATAGGAAGGCCAGGGCTACTTAAGTACTCATATATCGCCGTGCGAAGATCCAATAGCGGTTTATCCACCATCAGACGGGCGTTTGCTTGTGACCGTGGGTCTAGGTGGCACTAGTTGAGTGATAGTTTATGCGGCGGCCCAATGTCGGTCATCGATTATCAACTGATCGCTAATCGATTGATAGTAATGAGAAAAGTGGACTTGGATAGTGAAGCAACTGGTAACCACTCGTGACAGAGATAGTCCTGCTATAATTCGATTAATGTTAGTGCTAACCACTAGTATACATGAATTATTAGTAGTCCCGACTGAGTCAAGGGGCATAGAAGGAAAGGTGCAAGATTGATCATTACCAGGCTTTGGTGCTTAGAGCGATACATCAATTTGCATGTTTTTCAACCGTAATGCTGACGATCATTGACGTATCCGAGTAAGCCTTGGGGGGGTAAAAAGGTATGTACACCAGGGATCAATCAATATAGCCGCGGCACTCTACATCCCAGTCATCTATCTATAGATATATAATATGCGTCAGTCGCCATGCATAGCTTCCCCACCAGTTCACCGCCCTCAGCTCCACCGTTCACCAAACAGACACTAGAAATTACACACTCATATATCTCACCATGTCCACCGAGGCCGCCCCCGCCCCCGCCCCCGCCCCCGCACCTACCCCCTCCCATCCACCCTCCCGCTCACCCGCGACTCAGTCCTCTCCGCCCACGCCCTCATCACCCCGCACATCCACCGCACGCCCGTCCTCACCTCCACCACTCTCTCCGCCCTCGCCTCAACCCCCACCACACCCATAACCCTCCTCTTCAAGGCCGAGAACCTGCAAAAGATCGGTGCCTTCAAGATCCGCGGCGCCACACACGCAATCGCCCGCCTCTCCGACGAGCAGCTGAGGAATGGCGTTGTGACGCATAGCTCTGGTATCTATCTACCCCCCCCTCCCCGCTCCAGCCATATATATATCTACTCGAACGTATAAACACTAACATGCTCCACACAAAGGCAACCACGCCCAAGCCCTCGCCCTCGCCGCCCGCACCGCCTCCCAAACCCGCGGCTTCCCCATCCCCGCCTACATCATCATGCCACACATCTCCACGCCCAGCAAGATCGCCGCAACCCGCTCCTACGGCGGCATCCTCACCTTCAGCGGGCCGACCTCCACCGAGCGCGAAGCCGCCACCGCCGAGGTGCAGGCGCGCACGGGTGCCGCCTACATCCCGCCGTACGACCACGGCGACATCATTCTCGGCCAAGGCACAATGGCCCTCGAGCTCCAGGCGCAGGCAGCCGAGTTGGGTTACCCACTGGATGCGATCGTGGCGCCGTGCGGCGGCGGCGGGATGCTGAGTGGTGTTGCGATCGCGTGTGAGGGGACGGGAGTGCGTGTGTATGGCGCGGAGCCGAGGGAGGGGGCGGACGATGCGGCGCGGGGGCTGGAGGAGGGGAGGAGGGTGGAGAAGGTTGTTAGTAGGACTGTTGCGGATGGGTTGAGGACGCCGTTGGGGTGTTGAACTGGGGGGTTGTGAGTGATAAGGGGTTGGTGAAGGGGGTGTTTACGGTGGGAGAGGAGGAGATATTGGGTGCAATGGGGCTGGTGGTGGAGAGGATGAAGGTGTTGGTGGAGCCCAGTGGGGCGGTACCTGTTGCTGTTGTGTTGGGGGGAGAGGGGTGGAAGGAGGAGGTGGAGAGGTGGGCGGCTGAGGAGGGGGAGGAGGCCAGGGCGAGGAGGGGAGGGAGGGGGTATAATGTGGGTGTTGTGCTGAGCGGGGGGAATACGACGATTGAGAAGATTGTCGAGCTGTTTGGGAAGAAGAAGGAGTAGGAGTAGATATTATATATATATAGCAGTAGGTAAACACTCATAGCCAATACTTGTAGGTAAACCATATAGAAGGGTAATGATCGATATGCAGGTTTTTTTATTCGTAAAGAAATTCGTGGGAAGCTTTATTGTGAGATGTGGGTGGTTCTAAGTACCAATAATAACTGCAACCGCGCATCGATATCTTCCGTAGTAATGCGCCATACACCTCAAACATCAAGTGAAACCAGAACAAGAACAAGAACAGCAACAGCAGAACGTAACCCCCTATCTACAGCGCCCCCTTCCCCCCATGCCCACTCGCGCTTCAAACCTTAGAGCTGATCCAGATCGCCGCCTTACACCCACCCCTAATCGCATTAAAGATAATCTCATACCCACCAGCGCCCTTCGCATCATGCTCCACCGCCGTATCCAAACTACCCCCACAACGTCAGCACCACCCTCACCCTCACCCTCACCCCACAACCAAGCTCAAAAAGGAAGAAAAGGGCACACTCACTGCTCCAACTCATCATCCCTAAACTCCCTAATCACATCCACCAACTCCTTCAACTCCCCCCTCTTCAGCAACTCGGGCTCCTCCCTCACCATCTCCAGCAGCGCCCTAATCTGGTCATTATAGTGCCCTCCAATCTCGGTCTCCACCGCCTCCGTACACGCCATCGCCGCCTTCTCGCCCAGCAGCGCCGTGCCGACGCCGAGCGCGTAGCCCGCCACGTTCCACAGCGGCCGCATGGCCGTGGGGCGGACGCGGTGCTTGGCGATGAGGCTGTTGAAGGTGTTGAGGTGGTGCACTTCCTGGTCCCACATGTGCCGGATCAAGGGCCGGAGGCGGGCGTCGTTCTTGAAGATTGCGTATTGGCCGGCGTAGATGAGGTTTGCGCCGAGTTCGCCGGCTTGGTTGACGCGGATCTGCGAGGAGGGGGGGGGGGGGGTTAGATTGGGGTTATTATTATGTGGGGTTATATAGATTGGACGAGGGGTTGGAGTTTGCTCCGCGGGGCCCCGGGGGGGGGGGGGTAATGATCGGTTTGCCCATATTTCCCAAAAGGGACTGATGGTATTAGGGTCTGTCCATGCTATAGGTCGCACAACGTATTGATTGGACCCTGCCACCATCAATGCCTTTTTAGGCCTTACAGCAGCTCCCCCGGGGAGTTTTACGTGGGGGGATTTGGGGGGGGGGGGGGGCAAAAGCAGAATACCATTGGCCCCATACGCTATGCATAATGGAACAAAACAAATACTCTTATTTTCCTGACGTTTGTGGACGCAACCAATATTGCATACCCATACAAAAAAATACGCCAAGCTGATTCTTTTTCGGTGTATGCAATAGTGGCCCAGTTCAAAAACGTCAGGAAGATATGAGTACATATAGATAGATAGTAGACGCCACACTTACAGCACTTTCCAAAAAGTCCCTTTCCTTCTGCGTCAACGGGCGAGCCGGCGGGTGCACCTTCTCCGCCGAGCTGGATGAGGCAGCAGAAGCACTACTGGCAAGTCCCCTCATAGAGACGTAAGGTGCTGCAGAGTACTGCACCCTAGTTGCGAGCCTCAGCTGCTTTGGGAGGGCAGTAGCAATAAACCTGTTGGCCATGGCTTGGTATACGTAAAGTACTGTATGTATTGTGCTTGCTTGCTTGCTTTAATGCTTGCTTGCTGGGGTTATATGTGCTTATATTGCTATTGATCGTCTTTAATTGTGCACCCCCCACACAGTTTTCCAAAAGAGTCAAGAGTGAATAGGCAGAAGCAGAAGCAGAGCGCGGCGAATCAATCTGAATAGGAAAGGGAAAGAGAAAAAAGGGTTGGGTTGGATTGGATTGCGGCGGCGGGGTGAGTGAGTGGTGACGCGACGTCATGCAAGCGCCGCTCAGTCATCAACCCTAAGCCCTAAAGTCTCACTTTCCGCCCAGGAGCATCAATCGCGCCCTGTCTGTCTGTCCTGTCCTGTCCTGTGGGCTGCTGCGTACTTGCTGCTCTTGCTGCTCTTGCTGATGTAAATTCTAATCCACAAGCATAAATATAAAAACCCCCCAACGCCCCCTCCCTTAGTTTTTTTCTTCTCCCTTTTTCCCTCCTTCCCTCCTTCTCTCTCAATCCCTCATTTCCTCTTCTTATTCTCCTCTTCTTCCCCGTAAAGTCTTCTACACAAACCCCCTTCACACCCCCGGAAATCCCTCCAGAAAATCAGCCAGAATGTCTCTCGACGACGAACTCCTCATGCTCGCAGGCGAAGACGACGAAGACACAAAGCTGTCCTCTCCCCCACGCCGAAAACGCTCCTCGCCACCCACATCCACGTCCCCCGCCAAAAAACGCACCCGCCCAACATCCTCAAAGAAACCACGCTCCAAAAAGATTAAAAAGACAGACTCTGACGACGACGGCGATGACGATGATGACGAGTAAGCTAGCCCCCCTATCTCGTGGATGCCCACTCCCAATGCTAATCCCATCACTCCCAAAAAAGCTCGTCAGCACTCTCAGAAGCACCCTCGTCAGACGAAGCCTCCTCGCAGAGCGATGCCGACGAAGCAATGGATCTCGCCTCGTCCTCATCGGAAGAGGAGGAGGAAAGTGTCCGCGATCTCTATCCGCTCGAGGGCAAATACAAAGACACGGCAGACATGCAGCGTCTCCTTGCCATGGAGGAGATTGCGCGCGAGGCTGAGCTTGCGGAGCGAGCGGCACAGATCGAGCGTGCACAGCAGGACAGGCATCTTCGGAATCTGCTCAAGAGCCGTACTGCCGCCAGCGAGGTTTCGGGCGGAGACGCGAGCACGAGAAGGAGCGCGCGCACAAAGAGCATGCCGAAGAAGAAGGAGGAGACTACGAAGCGCGGGAAGCTGGAGGAGCTGAAGAAGGCGAGAGAGGATAGGAGCACTAGGGCTGCGGGATCGGGCAAGACTGAAAGGGGGGATGACGACGGGCACAAGAGACGGAGCTTGGCGGATGAGGAGGATGACAAGACGGGCTTTGCGGAGGAGCTGTACGCTCCCCCAAAGAGGAGCGGGAGGTCCAGCTCCAGGATTTGAACAGGGCCCGGATCGGACGGTCGGGAATGGGGAAACTCTGTGACTATCCTGGGTTTGAGGAGGCTGTGCGAGGTTTGTATATTCCCTCCATGCTTTCTGATCTTATTATACTTGTACTAACAGGATATAGACTGCTTCGTTCGTGTATCCCTCTACGACCGTGAAAAGGACACCACTGCCTACAGAATCGGCCAGATCAAAGGCTTTGTCACTAGCAAACCCTACACTCTGCTAGACGGAAAGCGTCGTACAGACAAACATGTCCGCATCCAACACGGTCTCTCCGAGAAGTCCTTCCAAATGGATTTCCTCAGCGACTCTCCCATGACGGAATCCGAGTTCCAGCGCTTCAAGAAGCAGCTCGAATTCGACAAAGTGTCTCTCCCTACCCTCAGCTTCGTCGAAAAGAAGGCCCACGACATCCGCGTTCTCGACTCCCGCACATTCACTCCAGAGGAGATCAGCGAAATGATCAAAAAGCGCAACAAGGACAAGATTGACCCCGTCAAGATTGTCATGGCCCGCGCCAGACTAAAGCAGCAGCGCGAGATTGCCGTGACGAACGGTGACGAGACGGAGATCCTTCGTCTCGACAAGGAGCTGCAGGAACTCGAGGACTCTAAAGGCCGGCCACATGCCAGGGTCGACAGTCAGATGGACCGCCTTGCTCGCCTCAACGCCGAAAACCGGAAACGCAATATTGCGGAGCTCCGGAAGGCGGAGCTGGACGAGAAGCGTGCAGCCCGGAAAGCAGCCGAGGAGGCTGAACGCCTTGGGAAGATGAGCAATCCGTTCATGAGGGTCAAGACCAAGGCCAGGGTCATGCACAGCTCTGTCGAGGTCCGGAACGATAAGGCTGAAGGCGAGGGCTCCGCTTCTGGCACCAAGGATGAGTCCAATACGCCGAAAGGCGTGGGCTTGATTGGTAATGGCGCAAAGAAGGGACGCAGAATGGATGGTGTGGATGATGTTATTGCGTCCTTGGATTTTGGGATCGATATTGAGATCTGATCTGGTGAGTTTCTTGTAATAACTAGCGTTTTTTCTCTTCTTTTTCCTTTCTTTTCTGCGGGGGCGGGGTGGGTGTTGGTGTTTAGAGTTTCTGCTTTCTTGTTAGTTTTCTCTTCTTACAGGATGGCTCCCTTTTCTCTGTACCTTTTATTCTTTTCTTCTCTTTCCTTCATTCTGGGTTGTGTTGGGCGATTGTGGGCGTGTGTTCCTTTGACTATAAGATCATTTTCTTCTTCTTTTATTAGCTTCTTTTTTTCTTCATGGGAGTTGTTTTATCAATCGGGCTGGAAACGTGGTTATAAAGATAAAAACAAAAATAACGAGGTGTCATGTCATGTATAGAGAGATGCATGCATGCTAGGGTTTAATGAGATATTTATTTGGTCTATGGTTCAAGTACTGGGTGTTGTTGGCGGGCGGGCGGGCGGGTGCGAGATAGATGTGATTTGCTATGTAGGGAGATATCAAATGTTTTCAATCAAGATAGAGTTAGAACTAGACTTGTACATGGTTACAGTTGGATTCTGGATGCTTTCCGGTTCTTGAGGACAAATCGTCTTGTGATTGATTGCAATCTGTCAACCTGATCAACTTGACTACGTTTGCAATTGTCTATAGCCAACCCAGCAATCATACTCCTAGGGATCAATTAACACCACATACCCAAACCAATCCGACGCTAACTAATATCACATAAAATATCACTCGATCCGTGAATGCCAGCTAATATAATACATTCAAGCGCCAAGGATTACTGGACTCAATCATGGGTTGATACTCGTCCTACCACGCATGGAATATCACTCGGTCCCAGAGTTACACGTCTATACATGTGGTACTAGATCATCCATGCAACGACCTCACACTTGCACGTGTAGCCCCTTGCAGCAAATGTGGGCAATTTTTCGGGAGTTATGGATACCTGGCCTGCGTGTCCCGTATAAGGGTCATGGTCTGTAATGACACTTATGGGGTTGGTGATAGATCAAGGTTCGTTGATCATTGACAGGAGCGGGCAGAGAGTTGTAATCCTCACACTCAAGGGGGCTCGCCCTAGCGGGTGTGTTGCCGTATCTACTTTTCTCTCTCTTATCCTTCTTGCCTTTTAATAAATCATGTATATATTCGTGCCAACAGTTGGTGCAGTTGTGCGAAGCTTAGATTTCGAGTTGGAGTTTGGGTTGTGAATTGTGACTGTGAAGGGGAGAGTCAAGCTTCTGCTATGACAGGAAGGAAGGGAGGTAGAGGGACCAGGAAAGGCACCCATATCTGTATAGTCCAGTTTGAGGGTCTACATAGCTCTCTTCTCGTGGGTCTTGCTCCCACTGTCGCCGTAGCGAAATCCTGGTCTGATGCGTCTAAAACTGTTTGGAGGAGACCAGCATGCACAACGTACGGCACTAACTACCAGTGGCTTTCTACCATTGAATCCTCCAAATATCATTTCTGGTAGAATTAATGCGAAAGTGGGTTTTCCATGACCCGATAGTCCCATCGGCCTTCAAAGGAATATTTACAGTGAGCACGAACCAAGAAACCCACCTTTTTTAGTTCTGACTTCCGCAATTTTTCTACCGGAATGTGTACATGTATCTGCCATGTTAGAAAGAGCTAAGCAAGATAGACATTGGAGCTGCAAATTGGTACCTGAACACCTTATTATACGCTCTCCTATATGCGTACAGCGATATAGGAGATTTAGAACTAGGATTTCGTACTACTAATCCACTTAGTTCAACCGGCCGCTATCGCTCGCTTAATCTCCACGTTTTCCAGCCCCCCGGTCTTATTTTCACATTACAGCATATCCCTGGACTGATAATGGAAATCATTTCGGCGTTCATGGTTGTTACACATCAATTTACTATTAGCGTTGAACCCCGTGCACGGTGGACTAACAACGACGGACGAGTGATAATCAATGACCTTAGTTAGCCGTTGCCGTTACGTCATGGAATTTAAACAAAAGACATGTTCCTTGTTTGAAACAAAGGAGCTATGACATAAAGGACTCGCTTCGTGAGTGATGAAGAGTACTATGAGCTACCAGGTACAGATCACGCTACCGGTACGTAGGTACATGGGCTGCAGATCCGTCAATAGCAGCTCACCCTATCAACGTCTGCTGATGCCTATTACAACAACGAAAGCGTGAGCATCGATATCAACTATTTTCTCGGAAGTCCCAACCCCCTATTTCGATCTCTATCAAGATCAGGTCACATGAAGCCGGTCATCTCCTGCAGTCAGTGTGCTGGAAGCGAGCGCATCCACAAGGCCGGGGTGGGACTAGGGTAATCGGCATATATATCCCAACTCCTCCGCAGGTGGCTGCCCGCCGTATTAAAGTCGATGGGAACAGGCATATGCACCCCATCGCCCGCTACTGCTGCTGCCTGTTAAAATCAAGCCGCTGCTGCCATACAATCAAATCTCGGGACGGTCTAGAACATATGAGCGGCACATCAATTACAGTCACCGAGAAATGTTCGAAGAATCATCGCCTGCTACAAGTGCGGGTTGAATTGGGCTTAGATTGTATGAGAGACGAATGGTGGCCTAAGATCTCTCATATATGAATCGTCGTGATGGGCCACCTAAAGATTCTCAGGCCAGAGGATAACTCATTGCAGAAAGGGAAGGAAGGGTTCGGTGGGAGTTTCTGCAGAGGAAAGGGCCAGGCCACTACCGAAACTTTGAAACAGCAATATCAAGAGTACAGCTCTAAATAATGGATAACAATCCGTTGGTTCGAAAATCTTAACCATGGTAGTTATGATCCACAGAAATAGGGCACAACTCGGCTAATTCGGCAAGTAACATACCACCTGCTCAACCCGAAAAGGTTGATAACCCGCCGAACTATACCCGTATTTGAATGCACCGGGAGGAAGAATCTGGACGGCTTATTGCATAGGGGGAGCCCTAAACCTTTTCAACTCAAGGGCTAAATGCGAACAATTAACTATTTCTTCCACGAATTCTGACATATATTCACTTTATAATAATAATAAATGGGCTGCATTGTTGCTTCGCTGAGACAAGGCGTAATAACAATTCAGACAGGACAACAAAACAAGGAAACACATAACACGGGTACCAGACCCTTCAGCACATTCCCGAAGCAAAGGCTGACATCTAGATATTTCCTATTGCGATATTTTATGCGCAATATGGTTGAGGTGAATTACCACTTCACTTAACCCGATCACGGTAGGGTTAAACTTCAATGAGATAAGAAAAATATCATGACACGCCTCCCGCTAAAAACAGACCAAAAGAAAATGAGAATTTTAACAAGATAAAGCAAGGGGAAAAAAATCAATTGTTGTCTTCCACTCCTGTCTCGAAAACCTCTGTTATTGCGTGGATTTGGTACTCGTACTCGTCGACGCTGCATAGTGCTTTTCAAGCTCTGCCATCGCCACACGGGCATGGACGACATTTGAGTCATCTACCCAATCACACACGGAAAACCGTTCAATGGCATTTTCATTTGAAAATTCCTGGACGAAATCATCCATACTCAGGGAGGAGCAATCAAACGCAGGAACTGGTTCACCGCTTGTGTGGGCCGAGCGTTGAATCTCGAGCTGCTGGCGGCCGCAATCAACAATTTTTCGGCGTTTAGATGCATTGCTCATCGCTCGGTCGAAGAAAGGGACACATTTCTGAGTTGTTGGAGGTGGTGGAAGAGGGGATGATGGTGGTGGTGAGGGAGAGGAAGAGAAATATGATTGGGAGGGTGTTTGTGGAGCAGAACCTAGGCCTGGTCGATTTATTTGAGAGTTTGGATCTACCGCTAAAGACCTGGAATCATTGCTGCCCGTCATCGTATTGAGTTGATTTTATGATTGCTCGATTGTGCTAAAATACAGCAAATATTGATGGCTTCGATAGGCGTCCTGGAAGGGCTTGTTGAATGATATTCGTCTGGTTTGAAAAGGTATGGTAGTGGATGGTTATATTGTGATAAAGTACCAGTCAGGCTAATTTAGTATCGAATGGAAGTCTCTTGGATATAGGCAGGTATGATCTCTTGTTTTCTCACCAACACAACCGTCCTAGTGCTGCTGTTATATAATTTAGAAATGCCCTACAAATTCTTTGGGGAGACTTAATAACTAGGGCCAATAATAAGGATGGGAATACGCAGGGTTGCTTCTCTTCGTCTAATGCAGGAGTACTAAGCTCCTGCGGATGAACTCAATTCATCTCCGCTATAGCGGCTTGGACCGGGGCTCAAGGTCTAAAGAGGGCAGGAATTTGTTCCGAAAGGATAAGGAGGAGACAGATTCATGGAAGAACCTCCGTCAGAACGGCTGCGGGGGGAGTTTGCGATCAAAGCGTAAAAAATAAAGTCCCTCATTCCTGGGGAAGCAGTATGTATCAACAACGTCTGGTAGTATAACTGAAAATTACGAAAGATAAAAAGGGTTATCATGGCGCGCTCCCGCAGGAACGAGTAGTCGACACATATCATTCATCTCATGTAGGGAAAGAGAGTAAAATGAGAAAGCGAAGTACTACACTGTGCACTGTGCACTTTTCTTTTCTTCAATAGGGTAGGTGGGTTTGCTGAGCTTCTGGACAGGGGATGGGGCTGTTTTGAGGGAAGCGACCCAGCAGGCTGGGTGTACCGCTGTGGTGGGCTGGCTTCTATTATAGTGGAGTACTAGTGTGTGGAGCTCCCCGAGTGCATGCATGTGGACTTGCCTTAGTGGAATAGGCAGCGGGAAAAGCGGGGATATGGGAACCACCCAAAGTGACCCGGCAGTCTGGAATCGACTTCTGTTTCCCATCAATCGATGCATCCCATGCGCGGTACCCGGCAACATCCAAATTCGGCCTTGGAGCCCGACAGTTAACAGACTGCTGGGTCGCCCAGCCAAAACCAACAGACTGGATTTCTTAGACGTGGGGGTTTCGAACACTAGCTGTGTTGTCAAAAAATTCACAACCCGTTGGTCCACCGCCCAGAGCTTCCCCGACTTAGATTT